CTCTTTTATAAGACAAATTATTTAATTTTCTTTTGGACGAAGATCACATGTTGATTACATGTTGCCTGATGGTATTTAGGTACAAACTTAATAATAATCCTTATACTTGGTGTAACGCTTTTCACATGACCAAAGTATTACACTGTTATAGGATATATTGTAAAGTGTAGTGGCTGTATTTTGTGGGAGCACGCGGCAGCCAATTTGCACACAACATCCCATAAACAGCAATGAATAATTTTTATTTGAGAGGCGGTTGGCCAGGACACTGGAGAAACTCCCTTTTCGTTTCGAACAGTACCATGGGATCATTAACATCCACCAGAACAGATTGGCAGAGTCTCCCAACATGGGACCTGAGTCCACAGCTTTGTGACTCTGAGGTGAGGGTGCTACCAACTGAAGAATCCTTAAAGATCCCACGGCACTATTTAAAAAGAGAAGGGATTTTCTCCCAGTGTCCAGGCCAACAATCCCCAAATAAAATTGGTCATTCACTTCATGGCTGTTTGTGGGACGTTGCTGTGTGTCTATTGGCTGCCATCTTCACTCACAAAATACATACATCACATCACTTTATAGTATATCCTGTGCACTTTGAGATCTCTCGATAATGTAATAAGCTGCTGTATAAAATGCAAGGATTATTATATTATTATGCTGCCAAATGATAAGAAAACAACACTGTATTTATGGAACCAATTCTTAAGTAAGTGAGCAATGGAGCTTACCAAAGGTAAGCAAATTCAGACCTGCTTCAATTGAAGCTATTAGCAAAGTCATTATGAATCAATTTACCATTGTTGAGAACCTTTTCGTTATATATATATATACATATACATATATATATATTGTAGTACTTTTGATCAATTTTGGAGGATGTAGAGGATGGTTTATGTGGACAGCCAGGCTGAGCAACTTGTTAATACATTCCCTGATCCAGTCAATAAACCAGACATTAACTTTTGTCAGATAAGAATATGGCAGTCTGATTACAAGGCAGTGAAAACTCCAGCAAAATGAGTCATAAAAATAATTTGCAAATGTTGTCTGTCGCAGACATCAGTCACAATGTTACATCGACCCCAAATAATCAACAGAACTAGAGAGCATGTTAACAGATCTGAGTAAAAAAGCTTTCCTCTTTGTTCGATAGATTCAAGCCGATAAGCAAAGCAACTGTTATTACTGATTTACTGGAAGTCCAAATGTGCGTATGATCTTTAATTGCTGATTACAATCCCCTGTGGCAGTCTCAATAGGCCAGTTCCTGAGCTAGACTACTCCAGGGCACTGCTGACAACCATCTAGCCTGTCTGGCTCATCAGCAGGACTCGGAGGGGCAGACTCGTCACTGGTAGCATGGACTCTTTCCACTCATCTCCGGTCTGCTCCACGTCCCCCGCCCCAACCGCCCTACTATCGGTGGTCGGGCCTTCAGCCTCTCAGCCCCGAGGCTCTGGAACTCCATCCCCCAGTGCCTTCGCCTTGCTTCCTCCCTTTCCTCCTTCAAGGCCGGTCTCAAAACCTTTCTCTTTGACCGTGCCTTCGTCTCCCCTCTCGACTCTCTTCCTCCTCCTCGCTCCCTCCCTTCCCTCCCCTCACCCTGACCATTTCCCCCTCCTCTCTCCCTCCCTTCCCTCCCCTCACCCTGACCATTTCCCCCCTGCTCGGGTCATGACCCAACTGTGCAGCGCCTTGGGACGTCCTCCTGACGTGAAAGGCGCTCTATAAATGGAATCTTGTTGTTGTTGTTGTTGTTGTTAATATTGCAAGCCAAAGCTAATGGATAGGGTGATCCCAGCTGGACAAGTAGTAGGAAGCTTGCCCAACAGTGCTCTCAGTGGCAAGCTATGCGGATTCCACTGGTTAAACTCAAGCAGTATCCCCACTATAATATGGTTGAAAAACATTCAAGAAAGCCATATTGTTTCTGGAACCTTGCGGAAGGAAAAGCACCTTGTGACATAAACCATGTCTCATGTAGAGAAGCTCATGAACATCACACCAACTCATGGCTTGAATTGATATCGGTTCTAAGCAAAGATATCTCGAACAATTTGCTGCAGTTTGTCACAAAGTGCGTTTTCCAGTGTTGAGACATGACCAATATTACCCTTTTCAAGTAGAGCACTTTTTCAACCCCAATTTTTTCCCAGTCAGACTTCTGGTGCCTAAGATTCTTAAAAATGTAATTGCGCCAGTATAATACCTAAATTCAAACGTCAAAGTTTGCTAGATTCTCCCAACAATTGAAGGCATTCTGCCCAAATTGCCTATTCTACTCTACAGAAAGAATGTTGCCCCATCTTACCCTGTACCAGTTATAATAATAATCCTTGCATTTGATATAGTGCTTTTCATGTCGGGAGGATGTCCCAAAGCGCTTCACAGAACACACTGTAAAGTGAATTGACTGTATATTTGTGGGCGAACGCGGCAGCCAATTACGCACAGCAATGTCCTACAAGCAGTCGTAGATTGAAAATGACCAATTTTATTATTGTTTTTGTTTTTTTGGAGGGATTATTATTAGGCGTGTGGAGTAAGGAAACTTGCCCAAGGTTTCGCCCTGCCTGGAATTGAACTCAGGTCACTCGCTTGCAAAGCGAGTGCTCTAACCACTGAGCTACAGGACTCCACAGTTCTGAAGTAGGGCCTGGTAATATCAGAGTTTGATATTCAAGCACTTTCAACCTCCTATTAGGACGAAAATCTCTATGAGTGCAGCAAACAAAATTTGCCGATCATGTTTTTAAAGCCAACAAATATTTATTGAGGCCCAAAGGAATTTAGTGGCAGAAAAATACTGGAAAGCGTTTTGTTTCATCGCTTCTGAAGATTCATTCTAAAACTAAAAGAAAAACAATCAGCCACAAACTCACAGGTGCTGTGTTGATTCTGTAAACTCCCTGAGTGAATCCTCATTCTACATGGCCCTACAGTGACTTACATCCATATTACACTCTACTGGCTTTTAAGTTTACTGTAGTGATTAGAATCCATGTTGTGAATCTGTGCTCTATAATTCACTGCAGTGATTTAAATCCATCTTGTGAATCCATGCTCTACAGTTCACCACTGCAATTTACATCTATGTTACAAATATCGCCTGAAGTGAAACCTTATTCAGTATCTCAATTAATTATTTCTTTCCAATGAATTGTCCTGAGGTTATTGCAGAAGCTAACAATACCAATTGGAAACATCTCTGTGGCCGAGAAATATGCCATAAACTAATTTATATTGAGAACCAAAACTGAATTGAGACCACCCTGCTTGTTTACATAGTGTCACTCAGTGACCTTTTTTTTGAGTTATCCATGTACTTTGGCTCAAATTATACATGAAGTGGGTCTATTTGGATTTAGAGAAGGCACAGAGGTAATTGTGTTCAATAATATCAGTGATTAAAGGAAAAATAACATTGAATGAGAGACATTAATTTGGCCCATCAAGCTGGCTCCCTTCATAGACCACACAAGACCACACAACCTGTGTCTTCAGTCTCATGCATTAATGTTCTTGATCCCAGAAGCAATCAAGCAAGACTCTAAAAACATTCACTCACTCCCCATCGCAAACATCACCCTATTCAGCCTATTCTATCCTATTTTCTTCCATTTGTAATAATCCACTCCGCCTCTATTCCGAGGCTTCCAGGAGGTAGCTCATGAGGTCCTGTGGAGTATTACCTCCTCTGAATCTCTAACTAACCTGACAATCTCCAATGCTGTTGCCAACCTATCCTTGAGATAAGAAAATAAAAATGTTGGTATCTACAATAAATTCAGAAAATACTGGAAGTTGCACAGCAGCTAAATCTGTAAGAGAAAGATAAGTCAATGCCTTAGCCTTGATCCCTTGTCATATTAGTTGGATTTAGAAGGACCAGCCCGTGAAAACAACAGTATGAGGTAAAAAAATAAACACATCAAATACACATGTGAACAGGCAGCTGATGGGCTCACCATTGCTACGTTGTGCAATTCAGCAAAATATATTGAAAGATCCTTTAGGTAAGACAAAGGCAAGCACGACTGTAGTACTAAAGCTTGATATAAAAGGACAAAAACATTGAAAGCTAGAACACTGCCCTTTTCTAAATGCTTTGTTCTTGTGTTCTGGTCTACTTTGATTTGCCTGCCCTTTAAGGGTTTCCTCCAAGCTACTGGTTCCAAGACTGATGTGGAGACAAAACCTGAGGTTAAACTATCGATCCGGATCAGATTCTGATTGACTTGTTGTGCATTTCCTGTCTTTTATTTCGGATTCCATTACCCTCCGTAGTTTTAAATTCTGATGGAGGACATGGTCATGGTGTGTGGGCTACAGGCCGAGTGCGTGGTTCTCATCCATTTTATTGTTCTGTCTCATAGGCCAGTGCACAAGCAGGAGTGACAAGTGGCACTTTTCAGATCAAAGACTGCCATGAAAGCTGTAATCTCTGTACTAGTCTCCTCATGAATGCAGTGTGATGTGGGCTTTTACTTCTCCTTGAACCCACAACAGTAATTTGATTCCAGGTACCTCCTGTAACCATTATCAATTTCTCCTCTGAAACCTATTCAGCGCTCATCAGTTATAGAATAGGCAAAGTACCCTTTAAAAATGATCGAAGCTACAGGACGAAATGACTCAGCACAACTTGTCCATTACAAATAAAATATCATGCATTAAAAGCCGAACAAGCATAGATCAACAGAAGACATAGCACCTGACCCAACAGATTGTCCATATAGACAGTTCTTTCTATTTGTCACCTTCACATTGAGCACAAAATACAAAGCAATTCATTTATGTATGCCACCGAATAATACCGTCTGACATTTTAGTCCTGGGATTTATATTCTTGTGGTTCATTGTATTTTTAAAAATAAAAGCTTAGCATCATATTGAGGAACAGGAATGACTATTTCTCAGTATATTTGATGAGCTAGTAAGCCATACAGTACAATATATCATACACAGGACACATTGAAGGAAAAATCATTTCTCACCTTCTTCGTCTGAGACATCCAGGATCTCGGTCATTGTCTCGGGTACGTTCAGCTTGTGTTTCTCAGTCACAGTCTGCCATAAGCAAAAAATGAAATACAGACTTCAGGAAGATGTTAACTGTTCCTGGGAAGATGCTCTAGATGGCAGACCGGCTACACAGGAGCCGCGGTTTAATCTTATGCTGTACGATATACATTATGAAACTCCTGTCACTCTGCCAAAGTGCAGCGCTAATGCACCTGCAACAGTCGGTCACCACAGCTAATTAAACAAACAATCCTTCTCTTATCAGTACAATATATTCATAGCAGTGACCGACCGCTCCGCGCTTATTGATTTTGTTTGCATTTCAAAGCTGGCTGCAACCACCTAATCTCCAAAACAAACAATGAAACTGCTGCAGCAACCCCAACAAAGAACTTCTTAGAATAAGTATCATCCTCACACCATACACCTTTGTTGTTAGTGTTTATTATGGACATTTAATGCACACATAGCTGTGATTAGATTGAAACTGTGTTAGAAATGGCATAAACCTATAAGTCTGTACGCATTCTCTCTCAAAGAGACAGCACGGACAGCGTAGGCTAAATAACAACCACAACAACAAATTGCATTTATATAGCGCCTTTCATGTCAGGGGAACATCTCAAGATATTGGACAATGTGGGGTTTGTACCCGAGCTGCTGGTTGGGATCAGAGAGAGAAGTATGTATATATAGGTGGGATGCCGTGGAATTCTCAGGTTGGCTTGGATACTCAGAAGCACGGTGATGGGTTTCCGCATTTGGCAGACGCCTGGCTGACCACATTGATTTTTTAAATCTATAATAAAATCTTTTTGTATCAAATTACCTGTTATAATGGATCCAATGAGAACTGACAGACGCATTTTTCTATTAATGAGCAACAGATATTAATTTTAAAGGGACACATGACCAAATAATGATTATCCTCCTTGGAAGGAAGGAAGCGGGTTCTCCTTGGAGTTGAACTGACTCCAAGGTGACCTGCTTGGCAAAGAACCAAACCAACCCTCTGTGGTGGTTTCAGTAGTCCAGTTCCTGAGCCATGTGGATCCACAGTATTCCAGGGCACTGCTGATGACAGCACAGCCAGCTTGGCTCATCAGTACGATTTGGAAGAACAAGGCAGTCACTTGGGCCATCTCAGCTCCTGTTGACCCTGCAAGCTAAAGCCCTAATGGGTAGGGTGATCCTAGCTGGAAAAGAAACAGGAAAGCTTGCCAGACAGTGATTTCAGCAAGCTATGCCGTTTAAAAAATAGAGGGCCCCTGTAATCCATTCCAAACATTTTGGGGTTACCTTCAGTTACCAGGACAGCCATGTGTCACAGTTGTTTGCAAAATTTGAAACTTGGCTTTTATGAGGAGGGGATGATGACAGCAGTTTGAGGGGGAGTGGGATGGAGCCTGAGGAGAGGTACAGGTTGACTGTGTCCACCAGCAGGGAGCAGAGTAGTTTGGTGGTCAGCAGTTGGGTAGAGAGGGGTTCAAGGCTGCAGGTGGTGCGTTTCATATGTTGGTGATGGCTGTGAGAGATGAGGGAGAAATACAACCATTGGTATGGTATGAAATGGTATGTATTGTTGGGGGTGTCATCCTTTGAATGAGACATTAAGTTGAGGTCCCATCTGCCAGTTCAGGTGGATGTTAAAGATTCCATGGCACTACTTGAAAGAGAAAGAAGTTTCTCCCAGTTTTGCCTTGACCAACAACCCCATTTAAAAATGTGACTTTCAACAGCACCTTAGGACGTCATCCCGACATGAAAGGCGCTTTACCAATATAATTTTTGCTGTTATTGTCGACATTCACTTCATTGGTTACCACATTTGCCTACAAATTGATTTAAAAAATTAAGTGCTTTGAGACATTTCAAAAGTGAAAAGACCACTATATCAAATGCAAGGATAATTATTATTATTCCTGTTGTGACTCTACCTCAATCCCTCCGCCTTGCCCCCTCCCCTTTTTCAACTCTCGCCTGAAGACCTTCCTCTTCGACCATGCTTACGGCCATCTCCCTCGGTTCGGAGTCAGGCTCCGCTAGTGTTAAATGCCCTGAGACGCTACCCAGGTTGGAGGGCGCTACATAAGTACAAGTTGTTGTTGTAATATCCAGAAGCAATAAGACTTGTTGGTAGCTGAAATTATAAAATATTGAAGTGCTGCAGAGAGAGTGGCATAATCTGTTTCAGTGTGATCAGTACCACGAGCACGTCATGGATCAGACTCATCTCCTTAAAGGCTAACAAATCAATCTGGATTAACTTGGTTATTTTAGTGAAATGCAGAATGCTGTAGCTGTCATTGCAATTAGAAATTCCACTTTGTCACTATACCATTTTTTAAAGGGGACAGTGATCATCAGCAGGGTAGGATCACAAGAGATCCCAAGACAAGAGAGATGTGGATGATGAAGACAACACTTCAGACCATTTGATCTTATCCGTCCAGAACATTCACACTGTTGGCTTCCCATTACAGCATCAAGTTTTTTCTTAAATTAATTCAGCACCTGGCCTCTACCAATCTTTTTGGTAACCAGTTTCAGTCATTAATTACCCTCCTGATGTCTGACCCCAAATTGCCCTTCACACCCTAAACCTATGCCCTCTTTTTTTCTGGATTTACATTCTCTATTCCATTTAGCAAAGGAGTGATTTGCATGGCCAGGCTAAGATCGTTTGGTTGGATTTATACAGTTTCATCTGCAGATGACCACTGGCCATAGTATCCCTCAATATAATTGAAAGACTTTCATCAATGCTCCACTGATAATTTCAGTAGAACTGAATCAAGCACACTAGGAAAATCCTGGGTTCAAACTCTGATTTGTGCTGAGTTAGCAGGTCCACGCCAGAGTAGCAATAGGAATGCTAAAATTGGCCTCAACCTTACCTCCCTAGACTAACACAAATGCATTCTGAGCTTCTATTCTCGATTGCCATCAGGTGATCTCTTACTAGAAAGTGTGTGCGTGAAGGGGTCAGGTAAAGACAAAATCAGTGGCAGTCAAATTGCCTGCCAACACTCAGTGTGTGAGCTCTCTCATAAGCAAATATGGGCTCAAGGTATCAAAAGTCAGTCAGCTTATGTGGAACCATACTCCAGCATGTCTTCAGGCCTGCAAGGGAACCATTGAAATTACATAATGTTCTCATAGAGAGGAATGATTTTGCCTCATCGAATATTTTGTAAATCAACCTACTCAATGGCGATTATTCATATTTTCACTTCTTTCCTTTCTCCTCACAACATTCCAAACAGAGCTCCGCTGCAATGGACTCTGCAGCAGACTGTCGTTTATCTTGCTGCATTAATATTACATGCTCTGAGCTATATATAAACCTCCATCAAGACAGCCTACAACACAGCTCTCATCCTCCACATAACACATATTGTGCTTGCATCCGTCAGAGACATCTCATCAGCTAGCAAAACAGGATTTATATTTAAAAAACGTATGTCTCTAATCTATAATCTTATCTAAAGCATTCTGTTAACTAATTTAACGCTTAATGTGTGTTGACGCAAAGATTTGCAAACGCAGAATGTTATAAACTGTTGTCCAATACAAGCCGAAGCAAGCAACACAGGTTTATTCTGAAATCAAAGAAAAGAGCAGCTCAGAAAAACGGAGACAGTATTGTCCTAAATATATACTTACAGTGGTTGTGGTAGTGACCTCTTCTGTGACGACCTTCAGGGTATCCACCACAGAGATATATCCAAGACGTTTGGCAATTGCTAAGGCAGTGTTGCCATTCTGCAAAGAGGAGAATTCATTCAATGTACTGCATTCACCAGTGTTCTTCCTGTGGGGACTGATGTCTCACTAAAAGCAATCTCTACATCCTAACGAGATGCTGTTTGAAACTTTCCACTTATTATGCCTGTCTGACTTGCTCGGACATGTCTCACTATTTAGCAGAAGCCAAGAATATATTATTTTACAGTAGAGTTCATTAGGTTGATTACTAAAAAAACACAGCCAAATCCATTGAAATAATTACCGGGTATTTTAGTTCAAGAGCTGAATTTATTAGCATATTAATGAAACGGAACAGAAGATATATAATTTTCTAAGCAAACATGCAGCTCATTCTGGAGTGTAGAGTAGATGTGGGAATCAATAAATTATGATCTTAGGATGCCACAAAGTATCAATGCTGTGTACATTACGACGTGCACAATCCTGCACACACGAAACCTTCCAGTATCTCTGCTGAGCTGAGAGAGAGAGAACGAGAGAGAGACTTACTGAAGTGATGGCATTGGGTTTGGCCCCATGCTGAAGGAGAACATTGATGATGTGGGTGTGACCCTGCTGAGCTGCCTGGTGCAAAGGTGTATATCCATTCTGATCATGCAGACAGGTTCATTCAGGAAGACAAAGAAAAATATGGCATAAATGAGAAAATGATTGTGTCTCATTATGTACCATTGCTCATTGACCATTGTTAAATACAAATATTATTAATGTAATATTGCCTATATACTGTTCACCTATAAATGTCATTACACCTTACAGTAAGTCCTGTGAAGTTGTCTGAGACATACTCCTGATGTGAAAGATGCTACAACAAATGCAAGGATTATTATAATATTGCACGGAGGGACTTTTCACATTATTGAGAATGTGTCCACAGGAAAACTGCTCACGTGTACTCGGACTGGAAGGTGTCAGCCAATAGCTCTACGGTGAATGAAAGATTTGCAGGATACCATTCCAAAACTTGATAAGATTAAACCCCAACCATCATTGGAGAAGGCAGCAGTTAGAAAGTCGGGAATAGATACAACTGTTGGGTAGAATAACTATGTACCATTGATATCTAGGTTTTAGAAAGCCTCAAAGTAAATGATCTCTCTCCAGCCTATTCAAAGTGAATTAGACCGCAAATTAGGCCATATCTTATTCATAAAGGCCATTAGGTGACTGGTTTAGGGGGAAAAAATGACACATGGACGTCACACATCTGTGGCTGGCCATAAGTTAAGGTACAATTTGGGAGCCAGTGAAAGGAGATTTACTCTCTAGCTGGCCTTCACTACATCTGGCCTGAGAATGCTTAAATGTTCAGATTTGGGTGGCAAAAGTATGAAAATATTTCATTCTGCAAAACTGAAATCACTATAACTATAAAATAAAGCACTGTGCTAGCAGGCACTTTATCTATTGCACTACCCCAACCATGACATTCACATCAAAAAACAAACAAGAATTTACAATATTACGTCCCATGGTAATTCATGAAGTAAAACATCAGTCTTTTACATACTATTTTACTATTAGTTTCTGCATTTGAGGGCCTCAATAACACGTCTGTCAGTTCATTGAAAGAAATATAATCATTATGAATGTTCAAATATATACCACAATTTCTAATAATCAGATGTTCATCGATGTGCATTGCTCACTTCTGAGACAGATAATGTAAAAAAATTGGACGTCTCTTACACTCAATGTTAAAAATAGTGAGTTTTTTTGACGAGGTCATTATGAAAATAGACCAAAAAGTTCACTGCTTTTTTGTAATAAACGTAGAATAGACTACAATGCCAAAAAACGAACAAGTGGCTTCTGAAGGATTTTTCAAAAAAATTCTTGCTTCTTTGATTCCCATCAATCTTATATTTTATATGCCACAAATTATTTTTGAAGCTCATTATTTTTACCTTGGTTTTAGCGTTGACGTTGGAACCGTGTTTCAGGAGGAAATTGACCATCTTAATGTTTCCATAGTGACAGGCCACAATCAGAGGAGTATAGCCCAGCTGAAAGAAAGAAGCTTCATCAGAACTTAACCCGCCAGGCAGAACGCCACAAATGTGGACCAAGTTCCATTGTCTCCCTGTCTCGAGTCTCATGACTTTTCAAATGTCTCCTTGCTCTTGACCATGCCCACTCTACCTCTATGATTTCCTGTAGTGCCCCAATCTCTTTGCTTGTGCCATTAGTTATCTCCCCTTCGACAGCCTTCATCTCCCAACTTGCTTGGAATCCCACTGCTTTGTAAAGTACTTTTGAGACATTTAACTACATGAAAGAAATTATACAAATGAAAGCCCTTGTTTTTTTATGGATAGCCATTAGATTACAAAGAATAATAATCCTGTTTCAATAAATATTCTTGGGCAATAGAGAAACACGGAGATGTCACTATAGTGTTTAATCAAAGGAATGAGTTGCAATTTTATTTCTAAAATATGTGTTTAACAGTACTGTATGTATTATATAAAGCAACAGCACTGATACATTACAAGGCACCAATTCAAACGTTACTTGTTAAATAATTTCTGTGCTGTCATGGTTGATCAATAAACAATACTATACATTCTCTCTTAATACAGGTCTTCATTAAAAACACTCAAGTTCAACGTGAACAGTAGAGTTGACAATGTTTGAAGCTTCCTTATGAACAGCTCTGAACCTGAAAGCCTTGCAATATAATAATACAAACAGGAAAAGATGATGTTGTTACCTTAGTCTGGACATCAAGATTTGCCCCATTTTGTACCAGCATGTCCGCTACATTAACCTTATCCTCCTGAGCTGCAAGGTGTAGTGCTGTCAATCCGCTCTAAACATTGACAAAACACAATAGATGAACATGTCAGTGTTAATCGCAAAGAAAAGCCATTGAGTGATATTCTTAATTTTGAATCTTTATTTTTAATGAGTCCATTGGATTTTTTTTGCTTGTGCAGAATGGTAATTAAGTACTTCGGTCCCGGTTGACCACCACTGAACATGCACATGTGCAGCATAACATCCCAAAACAACTCCAACCCAAGAGGTTTATAGATCCAAGAGATTGACAAAGAATGTAAACCGGCCATTTGGCCCAGCCAGTCTGTGACGATGTTTACACTCCACATAAGTCTCCACCCACTTTTTACTCCAGAGTCCACCCACTCCTAACTCCCTCCCATACCTTTCTATTGTCTTCTTCCTCAAACAAAAGTCTAGCTTCCTCTTAAATGCACCTGTACTCTCTGATTCAACTGCTTAGGACAGTGAGTATCTATTGCTTTCTGGGGCAGAACTTTCCACATTTTCATAGCCTTTCGTGAAAATGCTTCAGTTGTAACTGTCGTTGTTCGTATGTTAAGGCTCTGTCCCATTATAAAAGGATCTCTCTACCAGAAGGAAGAGTTGTCTACAAACTAATCTGTTAATTCCTCTTAATATTTGAAATTTACCAACCCTCTGCTTCTTATCACCCAACTAATTTCCTATCCATGACGCAATATTTCCTATCCATGACTTTAACTCCCAGTGTGCTTTAGTTTCAGCTAATAATTTCAGATGTGGCATTTCATCAAATGCTTTCTGAGAATCCATAATAAATAACATGATTGATTTCCCCTTTATCATTCACTTTCACACAGAGAGTAGTCCGATTGCGGAATTCGCTGTCCAAAGTTGTTATTGAATCTGTTTCCACCACTCATTTTGGCAGTGCATTCGATTCTTGAGCATTGGGGAGTGAGCTCCCCGATCGTGCAGTGAGTAAAATCACATGTTAATCACATGGTGCCTGCTGAGCACTCGGCCTTACAGATTGGAAAGTTAAGAGGTTCAAACCCTGCTCTGAGCTGCCTAATCTCAGCCAGAGCAACCGTTGGGGGCGCTACAATTGGCCTCAGCACTCCTGCCATAAGGAAGGCAAAATCATCCAGGGTTTCCACTCTAGATCACAATTGTGTGTGTATGTGGATATCAAGTGAGGGCAAAGACTCAAATCCTCCCCTTACAGCCTCCTGCACTCTGTGCAAACTCACACATTCCATTTGGACGAAGTACTCTGAGGGTCCCCAATGCTTTTGGAACCTTGCTCATGTAGAAAGAAAAAGGTACACAAAACACCTTTCGCTTGGGAGAAAAATGCCAGAGAATAAAAGAGTAAGCTAAACCCAAAAAAATCAGACAGCCCAGTGGGGCAATACTGTAATATTGCCTTATTCTCAGTTATAAATTCCAAAACAATGATAAACGTCTTGGGCACACTTAGACTTCACTCTTACCTTTGTTAGCAAGCTTACATTGGCGCTTTTCCCCATTAGACGAGAAACCATGTCCACATGTCCTTCTTGTGAAGCCAGATGGAGTGGGCTCACTCCCTGCTTTGTCAGTGCATTAGTCTCAGCTCCATATTCTAGAAGGGTGGTGGCAATTTCCATTTGGTTCTTCTTGGCAGCGATGTGTAGAGGACTATAACCGTTCTGTAAAACCATGAATCAGACCAGAGACACTTACCCTCTGCTGGGTTTCGCTCAGTGCTCAAATTCCCTTTGCTAAATACAAAACAACGTGGAATTCAACCAAATTTTGTACATTGCTGATTGGAATATGGGTTTCAAATTGCAACCTGTTAATTGACATATCGTTGGAAATCCCATCTTGTAAACTGAAGGGTCTCCACCTCCTAAAAACATTGGAATATTGGTTAGTGGGAAACTGGCTTTACTCAATATAAAAAATTGGGAGTACAGCCAATATGTCACTAACCAATGTACATCAGATGCTACATTCATGCTCAACCATTGTGAAGCCGCCAGAAGGATCATAGTCTTAGACCAGCTATTGTCAGCAACTGGGTGGAATTGTTAAAGCTATATTAATTAACAATGGTGTTCATTCACATATCACAGGTCAAAATTTCCACCCCACATCTCTATAATTCTAATTGATTATATTCCTTTTCAGTCCTTTTCATTTCATTTGAGTTAACCTTACAGTTTAATTTCACCTGTTCTGATCTGACTAACTTGAAAATGTATACCATTCTAGCCCTTTGCCTATAATTTTCAAGAGCTTTGGGATGTCCACTGGTGTAATGAGTGGAAATCGTAGGTCTGGTTATACCTAAAATTCTTTTTGGCATATTGAATATAAAAATAAGAGGCTTTATCATCACAATAAAATTAAGTTATAAAAGAATACTTTGGATTAGGAGGCATGTTTGTTAGGATATTCAAAACAAAAAGTCAATCCATGTGCAAATGAATTAAAAACATAATTCACAAACCCTCTAATCCCTTGTGATCAGATGAGTTATTTACTTAACTCTACCAGCCCCTCCTACCAAGCAGCTGTCTATGAATTCTAACAAAAAACCAGAACAAAGACCTTCAGACTGACTACAGTCTACAATAATACCCCAGCCTCACAGCTGGAAATCTTCATTAAATTACTTTAATCCATAAAACCAGCTATGCGTCTGTGAACATTTTTTTGAATGAGTGTCCATTATATAAGTAACTTATTCGCAATCACCAAACAGAAGACATTCTTATCATGGCTCATACTCTGAACATCCAAGTTATATTTACAAGAGGGTCATCCCTACATAAAAAACGAAATTTTGGAAAAGCCCATTTCTGGAATTTAAGAACAGACTTGGAGATTACAGCTCAGAATGTACTGCTATGTCATTTGACCTTACCAACTTGCCCGCTCCCTGCACTCGGCAAACATCCTCCCATCCCCTTTGCCCTCCACCTCTCTTGATTCCAACCCCCAGCTCAGGTGAAAACCCTTGACTGTCCAGCGCCTTGAGACATTCTCCTGATGTGAAAGGTGCTACATAAATGCAATTTGTTGTTGTTTGTTGAATGTAATATCATCATGATCTTGTCTCTTCGCAACCAAAAATACCTGACAAACCTCTTCATGAAGACAGTGCCTGCATGATCCACTAAAGTTTATGCATTACACTGTTAGCAAGGGGCCTTGCAATTGTCAGTTATATTACTGCTAAGTGCAGAAAACACAAAACCCTCTACAATGTTTTATGTTGAAGTTATTGACAGGTTTTACATCAATTATTAGTACCTTGGCAGTGGCGTGAGGAGAGGCACCTTTCTCCAGCAACAGCAGCGCCACCTTCTGGTTGTCATAGTGAGCAGCAACATGGAGTGGGGTTAGGCCATTCTGTAAGAATTTGTGTTGGTTAATAGGGACTGACATTGCTCTTAAAGAAAGTGTTAGTGAACCACAAATACAGAAAAAAAGACAACTATAAGCAGTTTATATCTGCACAAACCTATCAACAATAGGAAGTTAGATGTGGAAGAAAGTAGTTAAAGTCGACGACTAACTTTGGGAACAAAGCCACTCAGATGATTGACTGTCTCGAACAGAAATCGTCTATCTATCCACAATAATAATAATAATCCTTGCATTTGATATAGCGCTTTTCATGTCAGAAGGACATCCCAAAGCGCTTCACATAACACACTGTAAAGTGAATTGACTGTATATTTGTGGGCGAATGCGGCAGCCAATTGCGCACAGCAATGTCCCACAAACAGTCGTAGAATGAAAATGACCAATTTATTATTGTTTTTGGTTTTGGAGGGATTATTATTAGGCTCTGTGTGGAGTAAGGAAACTTGCCCAACGTTTCGCCCTGACCTGCCTGGAATTGAACTCGGATCTCTCACTTGCAAAGCGAGTGCTCTAACCACTGAGCTACAGGACTCCACAATGGGGAAACAGTACAATTTTCATTTTATTGCACAAGTCAGGAGTCTCTCTTACTTTGAGAATGATAATAGAGTGGAGTAAGAGCTTGGTTTCATTGTACAGACTGGGTGAATACAATATCTAATGGACATCTTTAAAGACACAAATCTGTTCAAAGTGGTGCCATGTGCAACTATGGGCCACCGGGAGGATATTCCAATCTTAGTTTCAATCTTTGTCTGATACTATTTTGCCCACTTTGCTGGAATGCTCAAATGCCCAATATTGACCTCTCCTACATGAGAAGTACAGGAATGACATGGATACTCTGCAGGTCCACCACCAGCTAAGAAAAAGAATCCTCATGGTCTATTTGGATTTCTCCCCACCTGGATTGTGCCCCCTCCTGCAGGCGCTGACTCTTACCAGGGTACCATCCTACAGGGCTGGCTCCATTCTCTCCTCACCCAGTATCTTCACTTGTCACTTTCCAACAGTGGTTAGCAATCATGATCAGGAACCTCTCTCTCCCCCCCCCCCCCCAGACATATTGAGGTCAATTTTAACACCTTTAACTCTGGCTGGTTTCAGTCAACGCAGCACAAATCGGTGATTGAACTTTTTACCTTCTGGGGCTATCTGGCCTAGCTTTCCGTCAGCCAATTCACTTCATACTTTGAAGGAAGAAGGGCTAAGTGGACCCAGTGAGATTCAAACCCAGAACCTTTTTTGTATCGAGTCCAGTGCTCAACTGACTCAGGTCACGCTAACCACTGTTCAAGGAAAACAGTTCTGAACAGTCAGAATCTTTTCAAAATGTATCATACGTGTCTTCGGTGAGGCACAAGAGGTCCTGAATTCCTTTTTGGAAATATTTGGGGGCCACACAGAAAGTGCAAAAGCAGGCAGAATACAAGAGGAGTGTTATTGATAAGAGAGGAACATAAAATGGGTTTGTTGTTTCATGCAGAAATTCAGGGAGCTGCTGTGGGGAGCAATCAAGCTTGGAAAGGAGTGGTCCCAGCAGTGAATACAGCCTTTCAGGTCAGAGGGGGAAGGGATAAGAGAAACATGCAAGGAATAAGTCGATTGGATTTTTTTTAAGGGATGGCCCAAAAGTTGAACGTTTCTTGTGAAAGTTCAATTTTAGAATGGATATTTAATTCATAAAACACTAAGCTAGTGAAATTCCACCTACAAGAACAAGTGGCACCTTTGACAGTGTTCACTTACATAATGGGAAAATCTCTTCTTTAAGGGCACATTGTCAAAGTCACCACACTTGGTGTGAGGATGAGGAATTTCTCACTTTGAATCTTCTAAACAGAAACTGCAGTTTACTTTGCGCAAGCTGTAATTTTCATCAACCAGAATTAAGCATTAGTCGATTAATTGTTCCATTACAGATAAAATTGAGGTCTTGTGTACATTTCCAGACTGAACTTTTGAAGTTCATTAATAACTTGCCTTGCCAGCAGAGTCTGGAGAAGCAGAGCGTTGCAGAAGGAGTTTTGCCACTTCCAGGCTCCCATACTTAGCTGCAACATGTAGTGGAGTAAATCCCTTCTGCAATAGGGGACAGAGATAGACACAACTGCCACTTAGTAAACAGGCATGCTTGGAATACAATATAAATAATAAACAGAGATAAAATTATACTGTATTACACCAGTGGAATAAATAGGGAAGTGTACACAATGGTAAAATACTGGTACTTTTACCATGAGTGATGGTTTCTATCAGTGAAATACATAGGTGACACTTAATGGGAATTTTATAGTGAGAAAGACCTGAAACTCAAGCATTGGAAATAGAAGTGGTAATGGGTAATGGAAGCAGAAGTGGTTATCGTTATGCGTAGAATATTGATTCTATAGCACATTGTGACATGATAACTGGACAGATATTTTTCATGTTTCCGCATGACTATTGTCTCTTTAAACATATCTGTTTCGAAAGATGTATTTTAAACACGTGGTGGAATTCAAATTTATCCCAGAAAGCAGTAAGATGTGATCAGCATTGTCACTCCTGCAACTGCTCATAACTATTTGGCGACTTAATCTCTCATGAACTAGTCAACCTCACTTGCAGAGAGATCTCACTGCCACTCCTTGACACACATGTACACAACTATAACTGAACGAAATACCTCTCAAGACTGGCTGTAGGAGTTCAATACTGTACTCTAACTATAAAGATTTGTTACTGAGTGAGGCAAACACAAGCAGTGAGCAGCCGGGTTCCACATTATTGCCTATAATATTTCTCTGATGACCACATGCACAGTTCTCCTGCAAGTTAATTCCCCTGGATGTTATGGGTTCACCATCACCACTAAATAAGAATCAGTATTTCACACATGCCCATTTCACAGCTTCAATTTCACTGCAAGACTCAGTAAGGTGCCCAAGGATGCTGCATGAACTTGAAACATGTCACAAAATCATTATTGGAAGACAAGGTAAAACACTGCATTTTAGTAACTTCAATCCCACTAAGCACAGTACAAGTTTTTTGCTCTACATTTGTAGAGCACCTTTCGTGTCGGGAGAATGTCCCAAGGCTCTGAACAGTCCGTAATTAGGACCCGAGCGGGGGTTGGGGAGGGTGGAGGGCAGGGAGGGTGAGGGTAGGTGAGTGGCCGAAGGCGTGGTTGAAGAGGACGTTCTTGAGGCGTGCCTTAAAGGAGGCAAGGGAGGGAGCAAGGTGAAGGGAATGTGGGATAGAGTTTCAGATAGTGGGGGCAGAGAGGCTAAAGGCCCAACTGCCAATGGTAGGGCTGACTGGGTGGGGGACAAGCAGCAGGCAAGAGCCTGCTGAGAGGAGGGAGCGGACAACTTGATAAGGGGTTAGCAGGTCAGAGAGGTAGGAAGGGGCAAGGCCATGTATGGCCTTGAAGGTGAGGATGAGAATTTTCAACTCGATCCTCTAAGGGATGGGGAACCAGTGGAACCAGGCAAGGGTGGGTGTGATAGAATCACGGAGCCTGGTGTGGGAGAGGACACAAGCTGCAGAGTTCTGAATGATCTGCAGCTTGTGGAGGGATGAGTTGGGGAGGCCGACAAGGAGGGAGTTTCCATAGTCGAGCCTTGAGGTGACGAATGCATGTAAGAGTGTTTTGGCAGCCTGAGGGGTGAGGCAGCAGGGGAGTCAGGCAATGTTGCGGGGGTGGAGGAAGTCAGAGTTGGTCATAACATAGATGTGGGGGAGAAAGGACAGTTGAGGGTCGAACAAGACACCCAGGTTCCTGACTGGCTTGGTGAGGTGCAGTGTGCATCCATGGATGCTGATATTGCCAGTGCCTGAGGTGCGGAGGCGCTGGCGCGAGTCAATCAGGAGAGCCTCAGACTTGCTTACGTTCAACTGTGGAACGTTGGCTCCCATCCAGGACTTGATGTTTGACAGGCAGTCTGTCAGGACATCAGTGCTCCTGGGGTCGAGGATGGAGGTAGAGAGATAGAGTTGGGTGTCATCTGCATACATGTGGAAGTTGACCGGATGATATCTGCAGATGAACACCAAATGGGAGCACGTACAGGTTGAAGAGGAGAGGACCGAGGACAGAGCCCTGAGGAACACCGCACGAGACAGTGCAGGGGCTGGAGAAGCCATTGGTGGAGACAAAGTCGACAAATGCTGGTGTGAGAGATAGGATCTGAACCATTCAAGGACAGAACTTTGAAGGTTGAGGTGAGAGGAGAGACGGTGGAGGAGGATAGAGTGGTCCACAGTGTCAAAGGCAGCAGGGAGGTCGAGGAGGACGAGGAGGCAGAGGAAGCCCTGGTCACAGATGAACAGAATGCCACTTGTCACTTTGACCAGGGATGATTCCGTGCTATGGGCAGCGTGGAAATCCGATTGGAGGGGTTTGTAAAGGGAGTGGCAGGAGAGGAAAGAGTGAAGCTGGGAAGCAACAAGTCTGTCAAGGACCTTGGAAAGGAAAGGGAGGTTGGAGATGGAGACTGACAAGAATGACCTCTTATTTTGTGTTATCAGTCTGGTTTCCATTGGGATCAGTGGCTGTTGGTCTCTTATGCGCTTGGAGGTGGGATTACATATGCAGTCTGGTGAGTGGGTATCTGTCAAGGACATGCATTCAGGTCAACTCAGTCTGTTTGCCTACCTGCAGTTTCTGAGGGTCAGAGATTTGTATTCAGTGTAATTTTCAGGAGCAGAGCATTACAACATCTTATATACAAGTATACCGCAGGTTTGAAAGCTTTCAGTTTTAGGCTGCTTCCAGGTTAAAGGAAGTCTTTTTTTGGCAAGTAAAAAAGCAATTTAGGAGACCATTTATGAGATCATACATAAGACCATTATCTTAAGTATTTAGGACCGCACAAATTTTAGAAAATTGTTAAATTCAGACAAATTCCAATTTAAATTAGAAGCTGGGTACTAAGTTAAGATCAAATTTAAGAATTTTCCAAAATTTACGCAAATGTCAAATTTCAAAGGAATGAAATTCACAGTCTTAAGCCCAATAACTTATTGTCCTGAGCATATTGCGTGCTGTTCGGTGTGGGTGAACTCGCTCCAATGATGGCTGTGATTACAACTGGACACATGCACAACTAGCTTTTACCTCTAGAACTTTCATATCTAACTGAACGCAGACACAGAGTGCTGAAGGTCACCGCTCTCAAATGGTGTTGAAGCCTCACAAATGGAATCAGCTGTGACCCTCACAAGTGCTGGACTTGAACCAGCAGCAGAAAGCTCTACACTGAATTCGCCAATTAAACTCTGCCACACACTGTGAGGAAGGAAATTTCCCACTGGGCAGCAGGTGTATTTCTGAGGGACATGTACAGTGTTGGAATTATTGTGTTTTAACTCTCCTAAATTATCTTCTTTGCTTGCCAAAAAAGAGGTTTCCTTAAACTGGAAGCAATTTTGTTCTAAACTAATGTAACACAGGCCTAAGGAGCTGATCGAGAAGACATATGGGGATATGCGATAGAGTTTGGATGATCACAGAGAATAAAAAGTCAATGAAAGAAGCAATGAATAATGAGAGATTTGAGGCTGGCCAGAGTGGTGATGCTCACAAGCTGTTAATGGGCTAGTAATCAGGTATGTTTCCACCCTTGACCATGTGTTATCAGGGCAAGTAATGTGCTGGTGAAGAATGGAAGAATGTTCTATTTCCCAGCAAAATTTCCGCTCACTTTAATGTCCAAAAAGTCATGTGTACAACAAGAGAGAAGACTCATTATCCTCAAGCTGCCAAGTCATCCCTCGAATCTGACGACTTCAAGACTGATGAATCCGTATAGCTTTGTTTGTATGACCATGTGAACAAATGTATGAGGGCAATGATTTCTTCTTGCATTAGGATTTTTAAAACTTGTTTTACATTTTTTAAAAAAATATATTCTCCAGACTTCTGCCTCCCTCCCCGAACGAATGAACTCTTACCTTTGTGGCTAGAGAATGAGTAGCACCAGCCTCAAGCAAAATAGAAGCCACGTCTTCCTGGCCCTCTCTGGCGGAAATGTGCAGCGGAGTGTAGCCATTAGTGGTGCAGGCGTCAGGGAAGGCCATGTGCTGCAGTAACAGCTGCACAATCTCAGTTTTTCCCAGGCGCGAGGCAATGTGTAAAGGGGTCTGGTCCTCCTGAGAAAATAGGAACATAGCAATTGCCAAATGAAGAAAGACTAAGGTCCATCTAGTCCACCTTCTACCATCCTGATAGTCTGGTGCTACCATAATGGAGATGTGGATCGCCATTAATTCTGGATGGATTAGTTTACCAACACAGTGGAAAGCCTTGGGAACTTTAAATCCAAAGTTGCCTAGTTTAAAACACACAAATAAAACACAACATTGCTCTGCAGGTTTATGACCCTACAGCTACATACAAAAAGACACAGAAACAGTCTATTCAGCCCAACTACTCAATACCAGTATTATACTCTACACAAGTCCTTTTATTTCCTTCTCCCTTATGTATGCATCAAGTTTTCTCCGAACAACAACAACAAGATTACATTTGTATAGCGCCTTTCATGTCAGGAGGATATCCCAAGGCGCTGGACAGAGTACAGCATTTCAGACCCAAGCTGGGGTTGGGGGGGAAGGGAGGGGAAAGGGAGTGGCTGATGGCATGGTCAAAGAGGAGGGTTTTGAGGCGGGACTTGAAGGAGGCTTAGGAGGGGGCGAGGCGGAGTGACTGGGGGATGGAATTCCAGAGGTTGGGGGCAGAGTGGCTGAAGGCTCTCCCGCCAACGGTGGGGCGGGTGAGTCGGGGGACGTGGAGTAGGTCGGAGCCGGCTGAGCGAAGGGAACGGGCGGGATACATTGATCGCTTTTTCTTCAACCACAGTTTCCATCAGTGAGATTCATCTTCTCACCACCCTCTGTGTGAAGTTCCATGTAAACTCCCTATTAAATCTGCTACTGCAATCCTTTACCTTCTGCACAATTCCAGTTAGAGTCACCATACCCTGAATTTCTAGTCTAAGGATGGATAAAGGAAATAGACCTAACAACTTTTGAAACAATTTTTTTTGTAATTCTTCCTAGCAGACTCAAAATAAAAATGAATTTGGAATAAACAGTTGGGACAATTACTTTAAATAATTCATTTGAATTCCAATCATTTAGTTTTCTAAATCTATCATGTGCCATAGAAAACTTACAGCAGAGAAGAAGGCCATTCGGCCCATTGGGTCCTGTGTGTGCAGAGGGAACTGCAGGTGCCCTAAATTATATAACAAACAAGCAATGTTTGGATATTAGCAAGTTTTGAATCAACTCCATCTACTGTCCACGTGGAAGAATAGCAACAGATGCACAAATTCCAATTCTCCATGCAATTCCTGAAATTGGTTTGGAATTGTATTCATTGCAGAGTAGTGGGTTGCCAGTATAAACATGCTACTGAAGGTAATCTATTTGCAACAGGCTACAAACAATGACATTGGAGAACACAAGAAACTGTAACTGCCTTCTGAGGTAGAAATTTGCTAGCTTTTTTGGCCTGAGCACAAGAGAGAGCATGTTGTAGTGATCAAATATGCTTCCACTCAGAAAGAGGCAGAAGAGAAAAAGGTTTGCAGGACCAGTTTGTTCCACTCCCTCCCTGCTGATGAATGAGAGAATCTAGAGTCACTATGAAGTCCACAGCCCAGTTAAACTTCCACTCTTGAGATGAATAAAGCAGGCCAAAGAGCAGAAGCAGCCAGTTATGGGATTGTATTCAGGAAATGTGTATTTTTTAGTATCAATGGCAATGATATCTACTTCTTTCTTTCTCTGTAGAGTAAAGTAAAATGAACTTTCTCTTCCACAATACAATGCATCATTTATAGCTGAATGTGACTAATTTTCCTCATTTTCAAGCTATTGTCAGAAATCACTTAGACCACCTTTTGCTCTGATGGAACACAAGATTCATTCTCTGTATTACTCATAATACCCTGTAGTATTGAATCATTTTGAAGCAAATTACATAGTTTGCTAAATCTATGATGTGCCATAGAAAATTGGCGTCCTCACACAGGCACACACTGGTTTGGGATTAACAACCATTCAATAACCTATTGACCAACTAGTTTTTATATGTGCAATGACAATACACAATATGCCTTACAATTCCTTAAAAACCACAACGATTTGCTTCTCAATAAAGGACATTTAAAGTGATTTTGCTTCCCCTTCACGCTGAGCTCTAATTTGACCGTGGAACATGGCAGGACATAAGACTTGTTTCAGCTCCTCACCTTTTCTACTGTAAATTTAAGGAACAGTTTTCTAGTGTGATTGGATGAGAGTATTTTTGAATAGAGGCTTCCGAATGCAGGCTAAACATGAGAACCAATTTAATTTCTGCTCCTTCAGTTGAGGCACTTGTCATCAAGAGGTGGCTGTACCAGATCTAAAAGTCCTGTTGTGACAACTGTATTACAATACAAATTCAGTTTTACCCCCTGCTGGGAAGTTCTCTGCTGCCTCCTCCTGCCGTGTTTCCTAAGATGATTGAGGACGTGTACAATGTCAGAGTGTTACAAATTACTAATTGACATTATGATTCTGTACAGATAGGAACACTGTAGGGATGAAAGAAACGGAAGAAAGAAAGATCGGTTGTAAACGTTTTATGTTGCCCCCTTCAAATAAAAGTGGTCCTGCCAGTTCTGTTGTCGGAGGGAAATTTGTGGGATGTGAGAAGTTGGGATGCTTGTGAAGATCAGAAGTTCAACTACCTCTAAACAGTTGAAATCTATTCCCCTTTACAATAACAAAGGGTAACTCACATCATCATGCCCTTTCAACATGCTGATCCTAAATCATTGCTTGAAACAACATTTGACTCATACACCTTTGCTTGGTGTCACCATCGGTTTTAGTGTAGTTCTTAAGTACACCAGAGACCTTTCAGCCTTTTGCTGGGAAACCTACCCTGGCTTTAGCGTCGACAAGTGCCCCATTGCGCAGCAGGCACCGAACAACTTCCACCTGCCCTGCTCGTGCGGCCATGTGCAGTGCAGTCTCTCCACGCTGAAGAAAGAAAAGGACGTCAAAACAAATAAAGGAGGTATCTCATTCAGCGACACCTACCTGTGCTGTAAAAGACAACTATCAACACAATAGTTCAACATGATAAGCCGCACAAAATCAGAAACATTCAGTAGGATATTTTACGTTAAATATACCTGTATTGGGAACTGAATATTCTTCAGTTTATGAGATTTCTTAAGGGGTGTGAGTACTATTGTGGGCTGAGTGGAGTTGCCTGGTTAACTTCAGCGCTGATTTACTGACCAGGGAGAAGTGACTTAACCCCACATACTTGAAGTATGTCAGTGTATGTAAAAGTGTCAACCTGTAATGCCTCTGGCACTCAGTCGAATGATCTCAATGGAAAGAGTTAAGGCAAATTTTGTTGTACCATCATCTAGGCAGTTTGCCTTCTTAAATAGACTAAAAGTATTTTGAGTGTAATTTTGCCCACGGCAAGTATGGTAACAGTAATAATTTTAGGTAAGAATAGACCAGCAGATAACCCCATGATAGTTCTAACTTAATTAGTTTACTGCTGTTTAATATTGCATTGGATGGAATTTGTGACACTTCATGACAATCTTGATATGTCACAAGTAAATCTGTAATAAAATGTTATAAATTAGATTCTACTATCTGCATAAATGTCACCAAATTTCAAGATCTAATTAAACTGCAAATGCTCCAATATCATTGCATTCACTCCGAACAGTAGCTCGCAAAGATGAACTTGTTTTCATTGAAAAGAAGATGGAGAGGGGGCTTTATTCAGGTCTTACAATACATCATCTCTGCTAAGATGTAATGTATGCAGGCTGTTTGACTTAAGACTGCAAGAATGGAACTAGAAGGTATGAATTTAAAATTTAAATGTCTCCGGTCAGACAAGTGATTAGAAGATTTATTTTTCTCTGACAATTGTAGAAATGTATCTACTAACCTTTTCAGAATTTCTGTGCTGCTAATGCAGCTACGGCATTTGAAGAGGACGAATATAAAGTGAGGGAGCCAGGAATTGGGATTAAAATAGTTATCTTCAGTGAATAAGTTTCCATATTAGGCTTGATGGATCAAGTGATCTATTATATTTCCTTGTTCCTATGAAGCAGATAATCTACTCCACTTCTGAAGAGTTGCCCTGAAAATGTTCAATGTTAACTTCTTTGCCTCTTAGATATTTGGTGGAGCCCATGGAATCTCCCACCAGAGTAGCTTGTCCATGGCACCACAAAGATATGTTTTGTGCATCTGGTTCTTAACCAGTCTGCACACAGCAAACTCATTGATTTTGATGAGATTATTATTTTGTAAAAGGGGTTACGAAGAAATCCCATGCAGACAGAATATATACCAGTAAATCACTAGACAATCTGTTGTGCACATTCTTTTAGTTAAAGCTAGCCATACTCACAATGTTAGAAACATCTGGAGACGCTCCATTCTGCAGCAAAAGTAGGACTATATTCAAGTGGCCCATGAAGGCAGCCACGTGTATCGGTGTAAGGCCAGACTGTGAAACAAAGCAACAGGTGTTTTACTCCTCTGCATTTTAAATTGGTATGACCAAGGAAATAGTTAGAGGTTAAAACGTTTCTACCTCTGTTATAGCTTGGATTGAGGCCCCGTATTTCACAAGAAGCTCCATCACTTTGACACGGTTTTTCTTGCATGCAATATGTAGTGGAGTAAAACCATTCTGCACAAAAAACAATCAGGTTAGCATTTTGCATTCACATAAAACCATGCCCAAAACATCACACTAGCATCATGCTTTTACATGTCATACTACATCACTGTCTATAATCCAAGGCGTTTTTTCTTTAGTTGTCAATGAAAACGTGTCTTCAGTTGTATTGTGTTAATATTATCTGTTAGGTAACCATACTTAGATCGATTGCTCCTCTGATGGACAAGCTTTGAAACGTTTAGTTATCAGCCTGGCTCGGTCGGGAGCTTTCTTGCCTCTGAGTCAAAAAGTTGTGGGTTCAAGCCCCATGATGGGACTTTGAGCTCACAGTCTAGACTGACTCTAATAAAGTGTTGGGGGATTGCAGCATTGTCAGGAGTGCTATCATTCGAATGAATTTTTAAATGAATGTTCCCTCTGCCTATTCAGGTTAAAATCCCATGGCACTACTCAAAAAAAAAAGGGAATTTCTCCCGGTGTCCTTGCCAAAGGTCCCCCAAATAAATTTGGTCATTCATTTCATAGGTGTTGTGGGACATTGCTATGTGGAAATTGTCTGCCTCAGTTCACCTACAAAATACATTCACTACACTTTTCAGTAAAATCCTGTGAAATGCTTTGGGACTGCCTCCCGAGCTCAAGGAATATGATTATAACTTATCAAAACTCACAAAGTAACTCCTTTCAAAAACCCTTTCCATGTTTAATTCTAGCATTTGATGTTGCCTTGTAATTACTGCCCTTCCTATCAGACTGACTCAGAACACCGCTTTGCATGTGCAGGTTCAGCTTCAGAATACAAAGCTTAAATCCACTTCTACTGAACAGGTCTCAGTCCAACACTCACTCATCTTAGTTACTACTGTATTACCCACAGCACTTAATTGTAAGTAATATTAATAAATATAAATGTAATAAATAACCCATTCAATAAAATAAACAGAAATTAATATTTTACTACCAAAACATTGCAAACCAGTTATCTTCCTACGAACCCGGTAGACTGGTGCTGTTATGATATGCTCCAGCATTAATGTAAATGACTCGCATGCATAAGCAGACAACTCCTTCTTCCTCGTGGGCTGAATGCCTTCTTCTATGCTGTAAATTTCTACAGTTCTCTGAAAGCAATTATTTATTGTCTGTCAGACGGACACAATTCCAGCATGTTGATGGGGTCATTTGGATAGGTATCAGAAATCATTTCGGTTCAAAGGGGCTTCTGCTGCCTCAGGCATTCCAAACACAAGAGCTCCAATTGCAGGTAGAAACCTAGCAATTTGCTATTGTGGTGCATACGTCAATGCATATAATTCACAACATCCCAAGGTAACATTTTTATGTCAAAACTTGACAGCTAGAAGGCACAACCTGATCAAAGAAAAACGTCTAATGAAATTCTCTACACAGTGGGCCTCAAAGGGAACAGAAATAAGGAATGGAGTTATCACCAGAACAGAAAATGGAGTTCAACATGCCTATAAAACCTATCCTCTGCATCTCGCTTTAGGTCTCTTCAATTGTAATGGGGGAAATTCCCATTCGCAGCTAACATCGCCTAAGGCGCCTCATGGAGCACCAGCTGGAATTTCAGGCTGCCCTTAACTTCGTGAGACTGGTTTCACACAGCTTCGCTGAAAATTCAGTGCCAGCACCATGCTTAGATTTGTATTTGTAGGTGAAACTATATTTTCTCTGCCAAAGTGTTAATCGAAGCATCAACAACCTTTGCGCCTCTGCAACATTTTAGCTTAGTAAAATCCTTAAAAAATTAAATATTAATCATCTATTAATTTACAGGCCTTTGTTATGCACCAATGTTACATAGAGACAGATAACAAATACTGTTCCCATAAGAATATGTGATAGAGGTTAAAGGGACATTTTGTTGTATGTTTTTTTGGGGGAGGAATTAATTTTTTGCACTTGCAGCATGCAGTGCATTTATAAGCAACATAGGTCTGAGATTTTAAATATTCAATTAAATGCATGACTGAAAGTCATTACCCAACCATTCTTAACTTTGAAAGTACATCTGGATAATAATAAGAAAATAAATCACACTGAAATGAAACAGCTTGTCTGATGCTAACATAATAGCTATGCTTTGTGCAACCTCTTAACCTCAGCTTCAGGTGAAAGGAACAATGCTCAGGTGCATTCTTCGGTTTACCATTAAAATCAATAAACTAAACAAATCAAATTGATCAGAAATTGGTATTCTTCAGACCCCTTATAAACATAATATATTCAGTAACTGGAAGTACCACGTAGTCATGATCGTTTATGTACTGTGTCAGTGACATCTACAGCTATATACTTTTATGGATTGAAGTTCTTTCAAATTTAGTGCCTGTTAAATAAGATGATTCCTTTTAATTTACAAAATGTGTCAAATTTGCTTTGAGGTGCGATGATTCCTTTAGAGTTAACTAACTGCAGACTGAGAAATCCATGTTATTTGTTCAGAGGCTGGGATGTTCATCCAGAGCAAATAAGAATATGAATGGAAATAAATATTCAGAGAGCCGAAAATCCTCACTTTAAGAAAATGGTCTGAACCTTTCGATAGGCCATTGGGTTATCATTGAAGAGTGTGCAGAACTTGTGGAAAATCTAAAACAGAACTGTATAAAACTTCCAAATTAAGCCTGAATTAATCATTTAAAAATTTCCACGTAATATAAATATACAATCACAAACATATATGGCATACAGAATTTGATAGCATATTCAGATCGTAGGGACTACTTACGGTAGCCCAATTAAGTGTGATTGTGGGAATAAGCTTACTTGTAACAAGCCGAGTTGTTCATATATGTAACTACTGATACATTTACTGCATTTGTGAAGCTAATTTATACAAGAACTGTATTTACCAGCGCCCTGGCATTGGGGTTGGCCCTCTTGTCCAAAAGAAGCTTGGTGACCCTGTAGTGGCCGCAGTGAGCAGCAACGTGTAACGCAGTCAGATAGTCAAGTGTCACGTCATCCACAGGAGCCTTGTGCTGCAGCAAGTGCTTGACACATTCCACGTGATCTCCCTGTGCAGACATGTGCAGTGGCGACAAACCGTTCTGTCCACACAAAGGGGACGGGGAGAAAGAGGTGATTATCATTAAATTACTGACTGAAACCATCACATTCTTTCACACAGGGAGAAACAAGCCAGCTCTTCATTGCTTCCTTTCAGCTAGCGTTTTCTCAGCAGAGCATTCACCCATTTAATGGAGCTTCTTCCCATGGGGCAGTATCTTAATAGAAACTTTAGCAAATTTGTACAAATTGATACAATTGGCGTTGCAACAATGGATTTTGCACCTTGGAAACCACATTATTTCATTATTTCTGTCATTTATACATAAATAATCTAAGATATAGTTTTAATCATTGGTATTTATTTGAATACCTTTGTCCTGGCAAGCATTGGCGCTCCCCTTTCAAGCAGAATTTCTACAGCTCCATCATGTCCACTCCTTGCTGCACAGTGAAGGGGGGTCAGGCCATCCTGAAGTAAAGGAAGAGCACAAGTTAGCCACTTGTGGCTGGATGCAATGGTCAAGGTCTTTAATAAGACACTGCAATGCAGAAGAGCATCTGCGGTAAACTAATCAGCAATATTCTTCACCTTCAATCCCATGATTACATTTTAAGAACTATTTGTTTGAAGATATTCTGAGAAATAATCAAAGCCCTTCATAAAACTTAAAATGTTAACTTTCAAAATGTTGAATATATATTGCCATTATTTTTATTACCAAATCCATGCCCTCAACTGTCGTGTTGAAATGAGCCTCAGCTGCAATGAACTGAATGTTCAATTCCTGGCCTACACATCTGAAATGTCCAAGTGAAATACAGAGAGCACCAACCTTTGGCAATGAAATGTAAGGAGGTGGGGGAGAGATTCGGGATTACAAGCTTTGAGCCGCTAGGTTTCAATAAGGTGTAATTACTTTCAACTATATCTACAGAGTGAATTTTTACTTTTTTGCAACTGTCAGAATAAAGAGCCTCATTCTTCTGAGAGCCAATGCTAACAATCAAGGCAAGTCAGGAAGAGACATGTCTTTGCTAAAATTGCTGCACTGGAGAACTACCTTGCCTCTGAAGTCACAGCGTAACTGGAAAGACGAGGTGATCTTTCTCTTGCTCCCAGATTGTTTGCAACACAGCAGAAACAGCTGAAGAATGTTGAATGAAACACTCAAAGAGGAAGGTAGCAGACACATTTCCATAGCTGTTAGTATTTGGCTAAAAATAAGAGTTCAATGACAGAAGAAAGCATGACACAATGTGGCTGAGGATTAAATAAATACATGTGAAAAATAAATAAAGTTCATGTGAAATGTGAATGTTGGGAACGATGGAAATGTTGGCGCTGAAGCGGGATGCCCTATGTGATAGGCACCTTGTGGGTACAGGCGTAACAATGAAAGCAACAGATAATTCCAATAGACAGTGTATAATAAAACAATTAGTTGCAAAATAACACAGGGAAGTGCTCTTTTGTTTGCAAGGTAACAGGAACAGAAATAAAATCATTATAATTGATGGTATTTTGGTCATGCATCTAGATGGTCTCATTGCTGCTGTCAAATCGCATATGAACTGTAGCAGGGCACAGCTCAGCACACCAACAAGCTGATATTCCAATAACATGTGGATTAGTAAGGTCATTAACTGTTGTCTTATCTTTCCATGAAATTAGCTGATGTAAAATGACAGAATTTCTTTTTTGGTCAATTAACTTGGGCGTATTTCAGACTGATCCAAATCCTGCCTGAGGTCCCCATCAGTGGTACATGAACGCTTTGCAAATTCAGTCAAATAAACTCATTCAATTCTAATGACATACAGTACTTTTCCTCTACTGCAGTGTCCTCGACCACTGTTTGATCTATTATCCCAGGTACATTTGACAAACAAATGCTAAAGGTGCAATACGGATTTAGCATCATTCAATGGTGATGCTCCCTGCTTCCTACAGCGCCTCCGGGTTGGTGATTTTTAAAATGAAATTGACGTGAATAGCTGCAGTATAAGTTTGCTTTTACTTCAGTTGTTGAACAATACGTTTAACCATTTCTGGACCATTTTAGGGTTTTTTAAATATTAATAATAACCCTTGCATTTGATATTATTTGAAATTTGACTGTAGTTGTTGCTATAATAAAGTTAAAACTCTGTTTTGTTACTTTTGACAAGTTGAATTTAGATTTACAGGATTACCTGTTCTTGTAATTTGCTGAGATGTAGCTTTCTTTTGTGCAGGTTCGAGCAACAGCAATGGGCATAGAGCAATGGATACTCCAGAGTGACAGGACGTTTTGTGAATGGTTAATAACATATAAAGGATAAAGGAGTCTGATCTACTAACTGGACAGTATATGGTGGTGATATATCCAACAGATGCACAACGAGCACAGAACACATTGCAGTTGTGAATCAACCGAAACTGAATAAATAACAAGATGTTTTTCTGTCGATGTTGCAGTTTGTATATCAAGTCTTTTCCATTGTTAGCCTGCCTCACAGGAGAGCTGGCAACTCCGAGATGAGAGAAGTGTTAGTCTGGAAAAGTGGAAAGGAGGAGCCAGGTGTCTTCCCCTTTAAATGCAACAGACAGACATGCAACACTGAACCTACCTCAGTAATACCCTACAAACCCATGGCCATATCAAACCCATGGCATGCGGTCAAAGCAAGAGAAAGAGACACCAACAGTGTCAAAACAATGTCACCTCAGCAACACACACACATGATATAAATAAACCACACACCATGTTTTCATGACCCTTATGCTCTCTTTCATGTCAAGTGCCCAGTTGAGATCGGAAATTTGTGAAGTGAAAAAAATATTCTATTTCTTTTAAAATATTTAAAAATGACAGATTTTGCACGAATATTATCTCTCTGGGTTTGGATGAGATATGATCCACTAGGATTTATTCCTGATGGAACATGGGTTGCATTTCACACAATAAAGCCTTATTTCTCAAATAAATACTGTAGGCTGAGATCACTTGTATGACTGGTGTATCTGAATAATAAGATCGCAATATTAGTATAGGGGTAAATTTACATTAATAATAATATTATTTTTATTATAATTTACAGTAAATAAAACAATAAAATAAAATAAGAGGGAAACATGGAACTCGCCGCAGTTGAAATGCACATTTCCTTATATGTCTACTGGATCTGCACTGCACAAGAAGAGCGGTAAAATGGCTCTAATATTCAACCTCAGTGAGTGCTTATGCTGGTCTACATCTATGACTGACTAATGAAAGGAATGTCTACACATAATTATGTCCTATTCAGGTTTTACTTTCTATTTTAACATGGGAAATTAACTCTCTGAATGTTGACCTACCCTTCCAGCTTTTCAAACAGTTGCAACTATTTTTCATTGAAAATTTACACAACTGAATGTTTTGATGATAAATTTGAGAATATAATATTTGCAGAATAGAATATGCCAAGGATCTTTCCTTAATGATTTTTTTCAGAATAAATTTAAAGCTCGGAACTTTGCTAGACTTTAGAGCTGAAATACTGCCTGGAAGATTTCTGAGAGGTTTAAACAAATGGTGCTTGATTTTAATATAAATATATTGGAATTTAAAATATTATTAATTTTAAAAAGTACATTAGAACCACTCAAATATTCACTGTGAATACATCAACCTCTGGGTATGATTTAAGACATCACTATAGAAGAACAATTCAGATATTATAGGTTATATTTAAATGTTTTGCAATGTTTCTTAATTCCACTGTGTTGGAATGACACTTGGAAAAGCCTTTTGTTTTCTCCCTTCTCCCATCTACAAAAGAAAAGATTGAAAAGGCTGAGCAAAGTCTGGTAAGTCTTCAAAAAAACAATGTTGTGCAAATTGGATACAATTTTCAATGTTTATTGCAAGCTTTTCTGACAAAAGGATTCCTTCTCTTGTCATACCAAACTTGGCTGGACACTTGGTACATTGGTGAAAAGATCTGTCCTGCAGTTGCAGGCTCTCTAATCTTTAATTTAACCCCAGTGAACCTGTCTTTTAACATCCAAAAGACACAGCTCTTCCCAAAGCTCACAAGACAGGCAATTTAGAAAAATGATAAAGTCAGCAGTTGAACAAGCGTTAGCTTTACGGCTCTTGGATTGAACGGCTCACCCTGGTCTTGGCATCAATCTGTCCTCCTCTGTCCAGCAGCAGTTTCACCATATTGGTATTTCCTCGTTTGGAAGCTACATGGAGCGGAGTGATTCCATTCTGGTTTGGGGGAAGGGAAGGATAAAAAATAATACATCAGCAAAAAGTTCAAAGCAAATATGGTATCAGAATCCGGGTTATATTTAAATGTTCTCTAATGTGTCTTAATCCCATTGTGTAGGAATGACACTTGATAAAAGTCTTTTTTCCCTCCCTTCTTCCATCTATAAAAGCAAAGATTGAACAGGGAAAACAATTTGAAAATAGAAAACTGCAGTTACAGTTCAAATGTGTGCCAGCCTCGTAGTACTCTCATCTGTTGAGTCAGCAAGTTGTGGATTCAATCCACATGCTGGGGCTTCAAATTACTACAGTCTTGGCTTACACCCCAGGGCAGTGCTGGGGATACACTGCATTGTTGGAGGTATAATAATAATAATAATAATAATAATAATAATAATCCTTGCATTTGATATAGCGCTTTTCACGTCGGGAGGACGTCCCAAAGCGCTTCACAGAACACACTGTAAAGTGAATTGACTGTATATCTGTGGGCGAATGCGGCAGCCAATTGCGCACAGCAATGTCCCACAAACAGTCGTAGATTGAAAATGACCAATTTTTTATTATTGTTTTGGTTTTGGAGGGATTATTATTAGGCGTGTGGAGTAAGGAAACTAGTCCAAGGTTTCGCCCTGACCTGCCTGGAATTGAACTCAGGTCTCTCGCTTGCAAGGCGAGTGCTCTAACCACTGAGCTACAGGACTCCACAAACTCCATAAACACAGTAGTCATTAAAAACATGCAGCAGGTCAGACAGATTCCATGGAGAGAGGAAAATTATTTAACATTTCAGGTCTATGCCCTTTCGTCAGAACTGGGGGATGTTGGAAGACAGCAGATTATAAGTACAAGCAGAGAAGGGGGAGGGGAAAGAAAGACAAAGGAAACGTGTTTAGATGGAGGACAGAAAATGATGAGATAAGAGGTGTTGATGGAGCAAGACAAAAGGCAATAATAATAATGCTTGCATTTAATATAGCGCCTTTTCATGTCTTTGAGACATCTCAAAGTGCTTCACAGAATATAGTAAATTGACTATATATTTTGGGGGCGAAACGAGGCAGTCAATTGTGCACAGCGGTGTCCCACAAACAGTCGTGGATTGAATAGGAGGATCATAGCCTTTTGTTTATTGTTGGAAGTGCCTGGTTTCAGATGAAATGTTAAACTGAGGTCTCTTCTGTCTGTTCAGGTAGACATTAAAAATCCCATGTTACTGTTTGGTAAGAGATGAGATTTTCTCTTGGTGTTCTGGCTAACAATCCCAAGCTAAAATTGGTTTTCACTTCATAGTTGTTTGTGAGACATTTGCTGTGCTGAAAATGACTGCCCATTCACCTACATACTAAAGTTATTACACTTTACAGTATATTCTGTGAAACGCTTTGAGAAGTTCTTCCAACGTGAAACGTGCAACATAATAATAATAATCCTTGCATTTGGCATAGTGCTTGTCACGTCTTCTAGATGTCTCAAGGTGCTTAATATAAAATTAAAAGATTTTTTATTATTCAATTATTACAGTATAAGTTGCATGATTTATTTGTGATTTGAGAATTACAATTGCTGAGACAAAGTGTGAGAGACAGGTGAAAGATTGTACTCTCGCTACCTGGAAATGTCCCTCAATAAATTTAGCTTTATCATTTGTGAGGATCACTTTTTTTATTTTAATGGTCATTTAAAATAAATAAAAGTTACACCAGAGGTTTCCCCAACCATAGCAGTGGTGTGATCAAGAAATATAAAAGAAATATATTTTAACAAAGGAACAATTTTAAATGTACAGTTTCAGCAACATTCTTGAGTTGATTTACCAATCACTGACAATTTACCCATCGGATCACTTTTGAGTTTAGAATGAAAAATTGACCTTTATAAGCTCACATTGTCAAGATCAATAAGTGTACCTGCCAGCAGAAAATTAGATGCATCCCCCACTAATGTATGGTGAATGGTTGAAGGCTCTGAAATGCAATTTGAAAAGAGAAAGGAATTTCTCTGGCCAACAAGCCAGATCATTCACTTCATAATAATAATAATAATAATCCTTGCATTTGATATAGCGCTTTTCACGTCGGGAGGACGTCCCAAAGCGCTTCACAGAACACACTGTAAAGTGAATTGACTGTATATTTGTGGGCGAACGCGGCAGCCAATTGCGCACAGCAATGTCCCACAAACAGTCGTAGATTGAAAATGACCAATTTATTATTGTTTTGTTTTTTTGGAGGGATTATTATTAGGCTCTGTGTGGAGTAAGGAAACTTGCCCAAGGTTTCGCCCTCTGCCTGGAATTGAACTCAGGTCTCCCACTTGCAAAGCGAGTGCTCTAACCACTGAGCTACAGGACTCCACATTATAGTTGTTTGTGGACTTTCCTGCGTGCAATTCGGCTTCTGCATTTCTTTTGCTTGTTAAGACTCGAGACGTTTTAACTTTCTAGATGCTACACCTCAAATGTAACAATTATTTATTTAGAATGTCAATACATTTACCGCTTGTCGAAGAACCATCCTCTGTGGATTACAGAGAACACAGCATCCAAAATTGTTCACATATCCATTTTGCTGAGTGAATTGATTAAAAATCCGAGGTTCTTGTTTCATTTAATGTAGGGTTTTGATGCTAGAAAATATGACTGGCTGACCTATTTAGGACAAATATTGGAATTTGTAGCATTAACATAATATATTTCCCCTACTCCCAACTCCCTCATGTGTCACTGCTAATTTGCCTTTACAAAATACCATTAGTTTGAAAGATGAAGGTTTAATGATTACATTTTTAATAAACATTAAATAACAATGTAATTAAGTTTAGGTTGTTGATAATTCACATGACATGAATTATGCAATCCAAAACGATAGTCCATATCTTAAGCCTGTTATTGCACAAGTTAGATTACAGGCTGATGGAGTTCAACCTGGCAAATCTGTTCCTTCACAATTCAGACAAACTCACAAATAATATTAATGATAGAATCCAGATAAGCCAAGGCTGTTAAATGCACTGCTACTCAACCCCTCCAGAGGAAGACAAGGTAGAGCTATGGAAACAGCAGAGATTGAGAGAATAACAATAAGTAACTGAAATCAAATAGGAATAAAAACTTACCCTAGCTGTGAAATCCACGGCAGCTCCTCGGTTTAACAGCAGAGTAGCTACATTCACGTTTCCATAATGGGCAGCAATATGCAGAGGCGTAAAGCCACTCTGTGAACAGGAGGAAAAGACATTGAGAACATAAAACTAACCAGCTCATAAACCAGCGTTTAACTCTGATACCCAGACTCACAAACACATTTTTTCTCATCCAATTCCTAAAGAATCATCTCGATGAACACATAAACATCCCTATGAAGAGTAGCACAAAATTCAACCAAACTAGTCCATAAATCTGTTTTGTCTAAAAATTTAAGATCACGCACAATTATGGAAAATTATTCAATTTAGACTCAATTGGGAATCCAGTTTTTTTAAGAATTGTGGCAAGCCAGTTTCTGAATTAAGACTGAATTTAAGAATTTTCTACAATTCTGCAAAATCGTATACTATAAAATTGGGTGGAATGCTGGCTGTCACTGGCCCCTGGGATACAGCCTCAAAGTTTACTGGAAACACCATAATGCATCAGGACACCAAAGCAGATGAGATTCCAACTATCATTCTTTCAAGTGGGAAGCAGACATCTGACAGAACTTTATTTGTGCATCTTCATGTTAAATTTACAGTGAAGAGAGTTGGGGTGAGTAAAAAACAAACAAAAAGTTGATTGCTTCATTTAGCTGCTTTTGAGTCTAACTCATTTGATATGATTACTTCAAATGGATTACAAATCTGACATCAGTAAAATAGCCAGTGCAGGGATTTACCCGCTCCGCTCATTTCCTGGTTTATCACACAGGAACGCCTACAGATTGTTTCATTGTAAGGGGAAGGAGAGGAATAAAGGAATATCCTTAAAGAAGCATTAACGTGGCTCACAGTATGGCACTTGTAATGCTCTGGATCCAGGCTACCTGCCTGTCCTGCTATCAACAGCGGTGGCTGACTGGAAGGGCAGAAATGAGACAGAAATCAGAAAGTGCATGTTTTTCACTGGAGGATATCAATATCCTGAAGCACATTGTGTAAGGCATGTTGCTCCGTTAAGGTTGGAAACAAACCACTTTCTTCCACCTGAAGAAATTGCAATTATACGACTATTAGAGGTAATTTTCAAACTGACTGAGGAAAAAGTGAGTAGGTCAAAATAAATACCTCTGTGGTCCTATTCACCATCATCTGGGGCAGCATTGAGAAGAAGCAGAAACAGTATTGTGAGAGAGTAAAGACAAACGTAAACCTCAAGCCGGGAAGCAGCACCAAAACTCACAGCACTTCTTGCAGAGAACACATGCAATTCTCTACATCAAAATTGAAATCTACACAGCAAACACACTGGGGTCTATCGAACACTCATCATTAACACTAGCGATTTTTTCAAAACCAATCGTGAAAGGAAAAGGTCAGGGTTAGTGCTCAGTCGATGATAGGCATCAATGTCCACTAACTTGTATGACCGAGCATGTATGGGATGAATATGATAACAACAACAATTTGCATTAATATAGCATCCAGCAGGCAGGATAGCATCTCAGAGAACTGGATAAGCAGGAATCCCAGTATCAACAGTCTTATAAACACGTTGAAGCATTTATAACGCCGTTATTGGTACTTTTTCAAAAATATAAATTTTTTAAATGTATATTTAAATTTACAGATGTTATCTGAGTATTTAAGCTGTTCTGCATAGAAGTGACAACATCTAATTGAATGAGCAAAGGCCTTTTGGCTGTCAAGCACTGCCAGTTGCTTCTCTGCCCTGTCAGAAATGTACCAACCACACTCAGTCTCCTGTAGGAAGCCACCAACCAACCCACGTGATCTTTTAAGCAGACAAAACTGTGAAATTTCTTCCCGACTTCTGCAGGAAATCAACCGATTGCAGGGATATTAATCCAACTTTAAAACCCACACTTGTAGCTGGGGCTAGTCACATCACATAAGTGATTTATCCCTGCTTCAATATGGATTGAACCATTACCATAGGGTTCCTATAAGCAATTTCATCAACTGTGTCTGTTCTTATAACTTTTTATTATATTCTCAGATACAACATACTTGTGTAATACATCTTTTATAAAAGAGGCTGCAGTTTTAAGGTGGTGCTGTAAGGAAATTGTGGTAAATATAATGGATTTGAAAGTGATCCAGGATTATTTTGAGTAGTTTTAGTCAAATCTGTAACCAAAAGGAATATTGCAAATGTTTATTTCCTTTTACCCTTTTTAAAAAAATCACAACTACACACAACATAACACTACACACATATTTTTTGAAGCCATTCTATTTTTTTCATCTATGGATTAAATGATAAACAACAACAAATTACATTTATATGGCACCTTTAACTTCAGGAGCATGTCCCTTAGGTGCTCCCTTGGCAAAAACAAGCAATAAGAAGATTATTTAGCCCATCCAGTTTATTCCTTCAACTGATTATAGCTAGCTGCACCCACTCTAAGGAACTCCATCTTGGAAACCCGCTGACACGATCCTTCTCTTATCTCATTCAAGGTCCGTCTCAAGATGTAGCTCTTTGATCATGTTTTTCGTCACCTTTACCCTCCCCGGCCCCTTCGGCTTGCACTCCCAGCTCGTGTGCCAAGCCAGTATCGGTAAGCAACACTTTCGGATGTCTTCCCGATGTGAAAGCCGATAAATAAATTTCAATTGCATTGTATGGAAAATGTTCCTTAAATTGTTTAGCACTATTAATAATATTATTATTATTATTAGCACAATTACAATTTTTGCTAGTTTCATTCCAAGGTAATGTACATTCCATTAAAACTGTCTGGTCAATAATAATAATAATAATAATAATCCTTGCATTTGTTATAGCGCTTTTCACGTCAGGAGGACGTCCCAAAGCGCTTCACAGAATATACTGTAAAGTGAATTGACTACCCCAATCACTACACACAAACCAAACACTCAATCAATCATGCAGCCAACCAACTAATGTAATCAAATATTTTCTTTGATTACATTTAAACATGAACCCTATAAACAGAATACTCAATGGGAAAATGTGTAGCTTAACATGTATTGTGCTTGTGAGGCAGGCCTCTGTATTTCACCCTGTATTGTAGATATATTGTAGTTCATTGTCCAGGCTTCCTTACACGTAGAATGTTCTTTCAGATTTCCAGCATCTGCAGTATTTTGTGGGGTTTTTTTTTTTTTTTTTCTTTTTACATAGAATGTTCTGTTCTTCTAATGAACCAGGGAGTACTTTCTATTCACATCAGCAGTGAGAAGGATGTTGTAGTTATCCTGGGTCGGATGATTCCACAGTGATCACAACATGAATGTACTCCACAACTGGTGCCAATGATAGTGTTACAACGATTATGATGATGAATATTTAGTCATGATATAATGTTGTAAACCTTCCTGGATGTAGTAAACATAATATTACCACGCAAACAGGTTTGGTTCCATACTTCAAAGTCATTAGGTCATTGATACATCTGTTCAGTGGTTTAAATCACAGTCATTTAGAAACTGAAAAGGTGTGTTTGATACCAATGAAAATGATCAAAGGTACAATATTTCCACATATGGATATAATGTATAATGGGATTTAATATGGGTGATCTGTGAAATAATTTATAAATATAGATAGACAGAACCCTGCATGTATCTGGATGTGTGTTACGTGACCTGCTGGATATCTACTCAGACACAAATTCCTGCTGAGTGCCAGGAACCTTCCTTGGACGTAAGTCAGAAATAAGCTGGGCATCTTAACAGAATTCCAGCCGGTCGTCAGGAGCCACATCTGGGTACCTACAGGATTCCATCTTTATGAATCCTTCCACAAATTCCTAGGTCTAAGTCCCCATTTTTTGCCAATCAGGTGAGCAGTTATTGCCAATAGGGTATACCGTGTTCTTATTTATTTCAAATTGATGTCTGAACTGTGATTCACACGATTTGTCTTTGTGAAGTGCACCTGTTCACGGGCTGGCCCCACGGTGCTGGGTACAGGTTGACATGATTCTAAACTGAGGGAACATGCCAAACATAGAGGGAAAATACAAGGGTGGTCATTCCCAGGTCATAACCCCATACCTCCAATGACCCAGCTATAGAACAGCACTGGCTTGGACAAGTTGCTAGCAGATCACTTCCAGCCTGCCTTCTCCCCTGGGGGGTGAGGGGAAGGGGGTGTTTAAGGATAGAAAGTGTGTGATAAGATTATAATAAAATAATATTTTATGCATAAATATAATAACTTTCTTATGAGTGGGATGAACAACAAAATCAACATAAATATTTTAGGGCAACGTTTTCAGAACAGAAGCAATACAGAAACAAGCAACCTGGAACAAAAAGATTTAATCTTATTAGAAATGCCTTTGACAAGTGACTGAAACTGAAAATGCATATTTATGCCATCCACTTTTATAAACCCAGGGGATGAAATTCCCTTCGCTGCTCCATACAGTGTGTTTGGTGGCATGTGATGATAAGGAGGAAATTTCAATAGTGTCTGACTTGCTCAATGCAGGTACAGATAATGCTTAACTGGAATTACAATCGAAAAGGCCACTGAAAGGAGGAGATGGCCTTACCTTGGACTGCACGTCGGCATTGTGGTCATTCTGCAGCAGGAGCGCTGCAGATTTGGTGTCATCTTTCCTGGCGGCGATGTGGAGGGCTGGCAGCCGCACCTTTCCCTTGGTGTCATTCTCCAGGAGGATGGCCACCACCTGGTTGTGACCCTGCTGTAGTGCCACAGCCAAGGGTGTGAACCCGTCCTGACAAAGCACAAACAACAATGTTTTAATGGCTCCAGTGTCATGGTTGTTTTTGTGGTGCTGCAACGAAGGCAAGAGCTTGAAAAATACCTGAAAAATAAATGAGGTTAGGGAATGGAGTAGATCACGTAGGTTTAAAGTTGCCCTGGGCAATTTCAGGACAGATATCAAGACGTCTTCCTTTACTTAGAAGGTAATTAACAAATGAACAGGTTACCAAGGAAGGTGTTTGAAGCTGCATTTAAAAAGCAGCTTGAAAGGATGAGACGGAAGGACGGTAGGGTGAGTATTTTGGAAGGATGAGATCAGATGGGCTGAAGGGCTTTCTTCATCCGAACCAATCTTGTGATTGTTGAATTGGGGAAACTGGCATCAGGACAGACACAATGGTTTGGATGGTCTCTTTCTGTACTGTAAATTCACTTCATTTTGGGATGTGTGCAACGGCCAAAAAGCTTACCACAAGGAGGGAGTGATATCTACAAAATACACATTCACTATACTTTATAATCATTCCTGTAAAGTGATTTGAGACGTCCTCCTGATATTATATCAAACTATTATTAATGCAAATGAGATAATAGCAAGAAGTATGCTATGGTGACCTATGGGAACTCTACTCCAATGCAATATACTCTCTTAACACAGACCCTGTGGTTTGACCAAATGTTTTGGTCTTCCTATTGATGAATCCCACTAAGAAATATCATAAATCAGATCTCAGCAACTCAAATATCCCATTAGTCCTGGTGCAAAATTCCTTTGCCTAACTGTTCAAAGGTCATAAAAGATGCTGGGACCAGGTCTTAGGAACAAAAAGAGTTTAACAGCCAATCTTCGAAAAGTATTTTCAAGTATTTATTAAATTATATATTATATATATTTCAGGGAAATGTTGTTGGTCTCTTACCCTCAGCACTGCTGCCAGTGGACTGAATTGACAAGAGTTAATGACTATAATCCCTCACACTAATATGTCAGGCCAAATGCTGCCTATTTCTGCAAACACACAGCTGCAGTAATGTACCAGCAATTGCTGGCTCAGTCTTCTGAAATGCCATTGAAGATTACAGATGCAAATTGTGTGCAACAAAGGGAGCAGGTGGGAGAAGGGCCGTGAAACCACAATCCCCGAACAATCACACTCCAGTCCACAATATCTCACACCTGCCGTAATGTTAAAACATATCACAGCCAGGAGCTCCCAGCACAATGGGCTCTAATGGCCAGTTTTTGAAATCAGCAACACCCATCACAGTCTATCAGCGCAAAACATGATAGAAGAAAATAACAAAAGGGCAATAGGGTCGGTTTTAACAAACATTTACTCCAACTGATGACTGTGTAACCCTGTTAAGCTGTTTGTAATTCCATGTTTTTTCCATCAGTAGCTCTTACTGAGGAATTTGTACTTTTAGTATATATAACAATAATTCTTGAACTTCAGATAGCTTCTTCCGCATCAGGAGGATGCCCCAAAGTGCTTAACAGGATATACAGTAAGTGGAATAATTGTGTATTTTGTGAGTGAGCATGGCAGTCCATTTGCGCACAGCAATGTCTCACAAGCAGCCGTGAAGTCAAATCAACAATTTTCTCTGAAGGACTGTTGGCCAGGACACCGGGCGAAACTCCCTGCACATTTTGAACAGTGAAGATCTTTAACATCCACCTGAATAGGAAGCTTGGTTTAACAGCTCATCCAAAGTTCTTTTCTCAGTTTAAATGTTTCCACATATGTTGTAATCAGACACAGATCATTCACTTGTCAACAAATGACACAATAAGAAGCATGAGGTCTTCTTTGTGTAAGAAATGAATTTCCCATTTAACACAGTCCAAGGAACATGTAATGATAAAATCATTTAATGACCAATGCTAAATGAGTTGAAAATCCCCGAGGCTAATCACCCTATATCCAGCTGATAATGGAGATCCTTTAACATGGTTTGTTACCTTCATTACTTTATTCAACGTATTAGCCTCATCATTTCACTATAACCCACGGGTATATCCAGTACTGTAGATAGTGCCTCCCATGGGAAAGATATGGACCCAGGGCTATCCATCACTTGAATCTTCCTAGCTTTATTGTGAGCAAATGTTGTCAGCTGCTTTCAGAGAAGCTGATGGATATTTCAGCTACCATCCTGCTGTAAAGGGACTCTCCTTAATGGGCAGTGGAAACCACAAAAAGGCATCTGCATCTCTTGCAAAAGCGGCAATGGGTTTCTAATCAATTTGCATGTTTCGTGGCCATGAGGTAGGTCTCTTCCCCAGACCATCCACTGTTTTGGCGAAAGTTGCCATGTTGACAGTGAAGGTCAAAAATTCTTCTATTTGGTATTGTTTCTTCTAATGATTTGATCAATCTATTTGAGAGCCAATTTGCAATTTCGCCCACAAAATACATAGTCAATCCACTTTATAGTATATCCCGTGAAGCAATTTGAGACATTGAGATGACATGATAAGGCGTTATATCAAATGCCAAGATTATTGTTATTTCACTCAGCAGCAGTGACAGAGAACTGGAAACAGGTCCTCAAGGGAGCAGTTAACACATAATCCGGAGAAGAACAAAAGGAAGGGAGAAAAATGTCTCTCTCCAAGTTAAAATAAAATCTCCCCAGTTTTCATTATAGAACTGAGAAAGTATAGATTTATTTTCTGTAGAAACAAGCCAGACAATAAAGAAATACGCATTTCTTTACAATTCATATTTTACGAAACATGAAACCAATCGATCATTGTCCACTGAATTGCTTCAGTTCAGCAGAGAGGTTTTTCCTAGATCAAGGTAACCCAGTTGCAATAACTTCAACAAAGTATTATTCAAGGAGCTTCAGTGTTCAGATAAATCTTAAATCATGGCAATTTCACTGTTAAAGTGTGTGGAATCCTCCAGGATATGTTACAGAAATACACCAGCTGTAATACTTTTAGTAAAAATTAGTACAGGCTTATTCTTTTAATCATTATTTACTTGATCTGCTTGCAAACATACTTAAAGGGCACATATTAATGGCATTTTACTAAGTGCTGCTTCTTTGTATTGTTTGGAGGGAGAGAGAAAGCGAGAGGGAGCAAAATTCTTTACACTTGCAGAGCGCATACCAATGCACACTATTAATGAATGGGTAAAATTGAGGCTGTACTGGAATTCCTCATATGGTCAATTTACAGCCACAGCTACTGAAGGGACATCAGCGATGAGCTCCGAAAGGTAGTGAGAAAAAGCCAGCAACCGAATGGTGGTGGGCTTGGGAGTAGGTCGCATAACCAATCCAATAGCTGAGCCATGATTCAGAGTGACTGGCAAAAATGTTATAAAGACTTAATGACTGATTCTGAGCTCCCTCGTGGTTGAATGAGGAAACACACTATCCTAATTCAGCACTGTGTCATTACATATAATCATATATAGATTGCCAGTTGAAACTTGTGCTCACTTAGCTTCTCTGTTGGAAAGCAGTTGAGGCCTCAATGTTCATGCATTTGGGAAGGAAAAAGCAGTCAAGGTTCCTGCTCCCATTCTCTATTAAGAAACAGCTGCTGGAAGGTCGACAGATTTATATTTTAGTATAAGCATTGGTATGATTTCCCCAGCTTCATCAAATGTCCTGCAAACACTTAATGTCAAGACTCACACTTGGATAATAGCAATTGGGCATGGTATCAGACGGTGACAGGTGCCTATACCTCCCAGAAGAAAGAAAAAGCAGCCAAAAGACCTACAGGAGAAGAGGAGGGGGGGGGGGAGGGAGAAAATTAAACAAGAAAAAAAGATTCTGTCCAGTGGTCTATGAAACACGCCTGGAGTCATACTGTCACTTTGTCATGTAAGTGACTGATACATCCTACTGAAATTTACATGAGATGAATTAGTTTATTTAACAAAATTCGTATTGGATTTCATACCCTGAGGGCATACATCTTGGTATTGGCTTACACAAAGCAATCAGAACCCTTTCCCCGAACAGGTAACAAAACAGATAATAGTGAAATCAACACTGGAAATGGCAGAAATGGGGCTTTATATCGTGGGGTTTTTTCTGGTGATCACATGGATTATTTTTCAACATGCAGTCAAACTCCAGAGCTGGTGTTTATTTTATAGTGTTTCTTGAAACTAACTTTCGATCCAATTGACAAATTTGCACAAGTAATATGATCTGTTAATAGTCATTGAATGAATCATTTGGGAGAAATGCTTTGAACATGGATCAGAATAGTGTAATGTGAATGTCTTTAATAGAAACAAAAAGAAAGGGCATTTGTCATTCAAGGAGAGTCCATCAAAAGCAATGTTACAATAGATTCCCTTACCTCAGTCGCTGTACTTTGGTTAGCTCCACTCTCCAGAAGATATCTCACAACGTCAATATGATTCTCTTGGGCAGCCATATAGAGCGGAGTGAAACCATTCTAAAAGGAGAGAAAAAGACACACACCATTAGAACGTTTCAGAATTCTGAAATACAGCCTGAGTTTTGAATTCGACAATCTGCTCATCTTCGGTCGCTCTGAAATGCTAGGAAAACAGAGGGCAATTTCCAAATGTTTGCAGACCCAATCATCCGGGCGGCTTCTCCATTTTGTCATTTACTGAAACAAACTGTGTTGGAAAATGCATCCCAAATGCTGCCCCCGATTCAGATCGACTTTGAGAGTCTTGCTCTCCACGATTGCATACATTTACAGTGTTTGAATAACTCTGCTGGTGCAGTCCACCTCCAGCCCTATTCTACACTTGCGAATTACAATGGAGAAAGACCTTGAGGAATTCCTTTGATCTATTTCTCAAGGACTAGTCATTGGATACTGTCCTATGTCAGATGGGGTATCCCCAGTATAGTCAAAATCTTGGAAGGCTGTTTCGGGTGCTTAAAATGATTTCCACTGAATGGAATTCCAGGATAACAGGACCAGAACTTTGCAGGCCGTTTTAGGCATGACAACAATACAGATGTTGGGGTGGAGGTATTTCAAAGAAAGTTTTGACACCATTCTTTAAAATAATAAACAAAATATGTTTAGGAACGCTACGATTTTGACCCATGGTGACACCATATCATCTGTTCTATAGATAACTTTTTATTCAGAATATTATGTATCTAATTCACATTTGTTTTCCTTTCTCTGGTTATCACTGTTATTTATAATTTGTGCTATTTCAGGGAGAAAACATGTTCAGATTCATCTTAGCAATCAGTTACTAGAGATGGATGCTCTTGTCCAGTAACAGTAAATATTGTGGACATGCAAGCAAATCCATCAATGCAAGATAACTGTGGCAATATTCAATGTATTGGCTGAGTCCACAAATCCCTCAGGCTCTCTGTGTTGTAATCTTCAAGGCATGTTTCTGAAAATATCAGGCAATGGAAAACAACAGAATTTTGAATTGGTATTTTGAAAAACACATCACTTTTTGGGTTAAATTTATACCGAAAAAATTCATTCATTCAGGGAATCAATAATAATCTTTTTATTTTTGCATTTATAATAATTCTTGCATTCAACATGGCCCCTTTGATGCCAGGAGGACATCTCAAAACACTTCTAATATAAAGTTTGTATTTTGTAGGTGACAACCAACAACACAAAGTGAAGCAGTACAAAGGATCTGTGAGCTACTGCTCCGCTCACTGATAAATGAAAATTACAGGTCCTGCCCCAAAGTGCATCTATAACTATATGGGCAAGAGAACCCTGATCTAGCTACAGCAGTGCTGCGACAAGACTGTTCAAAAAGGGAATGTGAGATTATTCCATCTGTTTGGTTAAAAATGGTAAGAGTTGTCCGCGTCTTCTGGTGCGAATTAAAACATGGGTCATCTGGGCTCAAGGAAACACTCTCGCTGCCGAGTCAGAAGGCTGTAGGTTCAAGCCCCATGTCAGGTGATGGAATCACATAGTCTAAGCTGACACTCCAATGCAGTGCTAGGAAGTGTTGCATTGTCAGAGGTGCTGAGATGTTAAACCAAGGTGCCTTCTGCCTGTTTAGATGGAAGTTAAAAATCCCAAGACACTATTTGAAAAGAGAAGAGAGTTTCTTCCGCTGTCCTGGCCATCAAATCCCCCAAATAGAATTAGTCATTCACTCCTTGGCTGTGTGTTAGATATTGTTGTGCGTAAACTGGCTGCCGCATTTTGCACACAAAATACAAAATCCACTTTACAGTAAATACTGTGAAGCTTTTTGTGACGTCTCAATGAAGCGACAAGATGCTACATCAAATGCAATGATCATTATTATTATAAATCAAAGATAATAAGTGTCTAAGATTCATCAATGAACATAAGAATAACATGATATCAATATTAGCATACTCAGTACTTCATCCTACTCAAAAACATTTATTTTAGTATGTGTGAGTGTCCACTTGGATCAAAATAAGTGACAATATTAATATATTTGGGGGAAATTTATGAATTGCTAGTTTGCTCTGACTCTTTGTCACAAATTCACAACTTACTGCATTCGGAGTCTATGTTGAGCACTAAGTTATAGTCCACCATTCTGTTTCTTTGCTGGGTTCTAGGATTTGTTTGCTACTTGGTGTAAGTGCAATGCGCTCTCACTTGAAAACTTGTACTAAAAAAGGTACAAAAGCTTTGTATGGGAATGCACACATGAACAATACTGAACAATACTGATGTCTCCTGATGTGCATCTCATCAAAAAGAAAGTATTTTTAACAGGAAATCATTCCTTCATTACTGTAGTGATTTGCCTGCTACCTCCTTGGGGGAGAAGGTAAGCAGGGTCTGAACTGGCTCCAAGGTGATATGCCTGGCATTGGCATGTTGGAATTGAGCCAGCCCTCTGTGGCGGTCTCGGTAGTCTGGTTCCTGGCCAGTTGGGTCTGCAGGACTCCAGAGCACTGCTGATGGCAGCACAACCAGCCTGACTCATCAGCAGGACCTGGAAGGGCAGAACAGTCCCTGGCACAGGGAATCCTCTCACTCAGCTCCTATTAATTCTGCATGCCAAAGCCCTAACAGGTAGGATGGTCCAGCTGGACAAGCAGTGAGAAAGCTTTCCAGACAGTGCTGTCAATGGCAAGCTATGCGGTTTTAGCTGGTTAGACTCCACCAGTACCCCAACCCACACTATGTGAGGTCCCCAAGTCTTGGGTCTCGCCAACCTGTGCCTCATACTTTCTGGAATTAGGTAAGCAGGATGCATCCCCCCACCCTCCCGGGAGAGAGTGCGCATTCCATTCTAATAATCTATCTCTGGAATTTCCATATGAGGCGGAATGGATGGAAATCTCACCAGACTCCCAAGCATGGTGATGGGTTTCCGCATGTGTCAGACATCTGGTAACAAAGGATCAAACCTAAAGCTTTCTGAACCAGAAGCATGAGCATTACCAACTGAACCAAACTGATCCCTATCACAACTCGAGCCACACCACAAAGGTTCTTGCTTACGCTTTTTCTCATTATGACTCGAAAATCCAATGAGAGAACATCCAATTTCTAGCTGTCTGGATCAAGGATTTCATTCATTTTCACTGACAAGCGTTGACAAACCAATCAGTCTGCAATTGGATCCCTAGAGGTGTGGAGGTAAGTGTTAATTTCCTTTGTGGAACAATGTGTATATTCCTTGTGTTGCATGACTGACCTGTGGGGTCAGTTTTTGTTTTAAGCTTTGGCTTCTGCTTTGCAAATATCTCACAATTAAGATTTCCAAAAGTAAGTCCAGATCATAAATCAGATTTTTTTATCCTAGTACGTATGATGTGTTCATGATTGTGGCTGTGATTGTGGTCTATGAGTTCAGAGTATCCATGGTCCAGGAGTGTTATCAGAGCTTCACATAGAATAGTATTGAGTCTGCAGCATCCAAATTAAAATATAGACAATGTAATGGTAGAGAACAGCAAAGAATTGAAAGCTATAATGCTGGGTCCCACTTTGAACCATGATCTCTGAGTGGACGAGAGGCTATAACAATTATTAGAAAGGAAAAGGCAGAATAAATATACATTTTGGTAGTTTCTTCACTGTGTTATATTAAGAGGGAGAAAGGGAAGAAGGAAAAGACTTAATTCCTTCATCTCTCATCTTCATTTTACTTGTTAACATGATTCTGGCTATATCTGCTGTGAAACATCAGTCACTGCTAAATCAGATGCAGTGACCACAACATTATCATACCACCACATGATTATTATGTCTATTCGTAAAGATATTCACAACACAAAGCTGTAATTTATGCTAAAGCAAACCATTAACTTATTTTTATGCAGCATCTTTGTGACATGAATGGCATTGGGCTCTTCTGTCTTGTACCCCACCCTCCCACCAAAAAATAAGCTTTCAAAATTTGGGGGAAGGGAATTATCTCTCACTAAGAGGCTCAATGTGTTTGTTTGTAAAATCACTGAATTTTCTAGCTGCCTGTCTCTTGTAGTAACAGCAATAACAAGGGATCCCCAAGAGACACTTTAATTAAATAATTCAACATTGGCAATGATAGTAAATGTTTTTATTTGAAAGGATGGCAGATGAATGATTGTTTTTTTTAAAAAAACACTGAAACACTTCATTCAATATTAAAACCAGGATAGATACAGATCAATCCCCTCAGCAGTCCACAATAGGCAATAAAAAAATGGTAGTCAGAAATACTGACTTGTACAACTTGGACCTCAAACTAAGGGGAACAAGTATAGCACGATATTAGAAATCATGTCGTTTGCAAAAGATCTTTTTTTGTTCGTGTAAAGGTTCCCACAACATCTGGAATAGCTCCAAGCTAGCAAACAAAGGCTGCATAGTGTAAAAAGGACTTGTTAGTATACTGTTTGAGGCCATGTATACATTATAGTATTTTCTTGTATGATATCTGATTAAAAGTTAAACATTGGGGCTTTGGGGAAAAATTACACTGGATGATTGATTGAGTACTTACTATCTATTTACAACTGATGTGGGTAAAGTTTTCACATTTTTAAAGGCATAAGAAATTAAGAAAACATGAAAGAAAAACAAGGCAACTCGTCCCATCAAACCTGTCCCTGTACCACAACGTGCAAATCTGAAACTCACACAATAGATTCCACCAAGAGAAAGTCTACATATGGTGTCAGCCAGAAGAAATGTTAAATCTAGGTCCTGTCTTCCTGTTCAGGTGGTCATTAAAGAGCCTACGGCATTAGTATCAATAGAAAGAGAAAGTTTCTCCTTGTGTCCTGGCTAACAATCCTCCAGATAAAATTGCTCGTTCACTTCATGAATGTTTGTGGGAAATTGCTGTGTGCAAATTAGCTGCCACGTTCGTCTACAAAATACAGACACTAAATCTTGTGGAGTCTTTTTAAACATTTCAACAATATAACTAAGTATTATATCAAATGAGAAGGTTATTTATTAATAATATTGGAAAGCACTTTTTCATGAAGAGAGTG